CCACAGACGCGTGGCTCCCTGCTCGCCCGGCCCTCGCTGGTGAATTCAGGCGCCCTAGTCTGAGCTAGCTCAGCGCCGATGCCCCCTGGCCAGGGCTGGCACACAGCAGGGTTGTGGAATGAATGACGGCTTCAAAAACAAAGCACCACCCAGAAAAACAGAAAGTTCCCCCTGCTGGGTTACTCTTCCCATGGCCATGACAGCCGGGGTTGAGCCAGGAGCCTGGGCCCCCGCGTGAGGACTGCGCAAGGGGGGACCCAGGCCCTGGGCCTCCCAGAGGCTGTGCAAGGAGCTGGATGGGAAGTGGGGCAGCTGGGACAACACCTGGCATTTGAACATGGGGTGGCTGAGTGGAGGAATGTTCTGGAGTGAAGGAGACATGGAGGTCTGGGGCGAGGTGGTGATGGGGGCACTTCCTGGACGATGTGGCTGTGCCTGGGCAGGGCCACCACACCAGGACATCATGACCCTTTGGGGCAAGCAGGTGGAGGGGGCGCCTGACTGGGGCCTGTGCCGAGAGCTGGGCCCTTTCCCGTGGTGGTGGTGGGGGTAGCTGGCTGGCCTCTGCCCAGAGCAGAAGACAGGAAACGGATGAAATGGAAGGTGGGCCGGCGGGGACGAGGAAGGAAGTGTGCCTGGGCCAGGACCGCACCCACCTGCTGAGGGCCTGGTAACGCAGGGACCAGACCCAGCTTGCCCAGCTCGCCCAGCTGCCCTCCACGGGCCGGGACAGGTCCAGCGGGGCTGGGAGAGCATGCAGGCATGGGCTGAGTCAGAGGGAGGCGGCAGCCACAGTTCCACCCTCTGGAGCAGCTATCCCGCTCGGAAATGGCCCCCAAGATGGGACGGGCGTGGGTACCACTCGCCACAGCCGCCTCGCACAACACAGGGCACTGTGGCTTCGGACTTCCTGCGTATAGACGCGCCTTTCGTCTGCTGGGACAGTCCAGAGCTGCCCCTGTCACCCACGTGGGAGACCTGGAGGAGCTTCCTGGCTCCTGGCTGTGGCCTGGCCAGTCCCAACCGCTACGGCCATTGGGGGGAGTGAACCAGGGAACAAACTCCCAGTTTATTTCCTGAATTCTCACTTTCCACTAGATTTTTAAAAATAATCTTATTTTTTTTAAAGTTACTTATTTTTTATTGGAAAGACAGATATACAGAGAGGAGAGACAGAGAGATCTTCCATCCCATGATTCACTCCCCAAGCATCTACAACGGCTGGGGCTGAGCCGATCCGAAGCCAGGAGCCTCTCCCGGGTCTCCCACGCGGGTGTAGGGTCCCCAGGCTTTGGGCCGTCCTCCACTGCTTTCCCAGGCCACAGGCAGGGAGCTGGGTGGGAAGTGGGAGCAGCCAGGACACGAACCGGTGCCCTTATGGGATCCTGGTGGCTGCAAAGTAGGGACTTTAGCCACTAGGCTACTGTGCTGGGCCCAAAAATAATAAATGTTAAAAAGTAAGTAAATAAACGAATAAAAAAACCTGGGGCTGCTGCTTTCTGTAAGCAAAAGCAGAAAGTCTGAGGCCAGGCCTGGCCCTGCCCACCCCAGGACTCTGTTCTGTCACCTGAGAGCCACACCAGCTGCTTTTCCTCCTTTGCTCTCCGTGTGTGGCTGGCTGCTCCTGGCAGGGGGCTGGGAAGTCGCACCTCTGGAATCTGGCACATGAAGGATGGCCCCAAACAAGTAAACACAAAACTGGGCGAGGGAGGGCGAGGGGGCCGGGCTCCTGGGGATGACGGATGTGGCTGTCACAGGCGCCCGGCCCCCTCCCCGCCACCACGCGGAGCTGGCGCCTGCGGCCCCAGGGCTGCTCCACTTTTGCCCAGCTGCTCCTGATGGGCCTGCAAGCTGTTCCTGACCCCTGTGTCCGGCGCCTCCCCTCGAGCACGCACCCCAGCAGCAGCCGGTCTGGGTTGGAGGTTCGCAGACTGTGAGACCCCTTAGCCGCCCCCCAAGTGTAAATACTGCTGAGGGTTCCCCTCACTCCCTCTTTCTTTAAGGGGCTGGAGTTGTGAGTAGCTCAAGTTGCTGCCATAGACACCAGCATCTTGCACGATCGCAGGTTCGAATCCCGGCTGCTCCACTTCCCTTCGTTTTCCGCTGCTGCACCTGGGAAAGCAGTGGGACGCCTGGACCCCCGGAGAGACCCAGGAGAAGGTGTTGGCTCTTGGTTCTTGTGTCCGGCACAGCCCTGGGTCCTTATAGCCATTTGGTTGGGGAGCGTGTCCGGCACAGCCCTGAGGAGCGGGGTCGAGCAGTTGCTGGACCCATTTTAAAGATGGGGAAATTGAGTTTCAGTAAGTACTCAGGAGGGTGTGGGGGTGGGGGAGAGGAGGGGCCCCTCGCCAGGGTCCGCTTGTGGGTGATTTGGAAGTGAGAAGGCATGAATGCAGCCAGGACTTGGGGTGTCCTGTGCAGGTGGCCGAGGCCCAGGCATCGGAGCGCCCCCAGGGCTGCCCCCGCGGCTTCTCCCGGCCGGTCGGGAAGCCTTGCCCGCGAGGAGAGGCGTGGTGTGGCCCGAGGTGCGGTGAGCAGGAAGGAATAGACGGATGCACAGATGCACAAAGACGGCCAGGAGATCCCACCAGAGGGACGGGGCCGTGGGCCGAAGTGGCAGTTCCTGCGCCACCCCCGCTGCCACCCAACCCGCGCCACTCGGGAAGAGCCAGGAGCCGTGTGGCACAGGCACTTCCGCCCCTCGCCACTTGCCCGCCCGTTCACGCTCCTTTTAGATGTATTATTTAATTATTAGAGAAGCAGAGAGAGAATCTTCCAGGCCACTGGCGCACTCGCCAGCTGCCCGCGCCAGCCAGGGCTGCGCTGGACTAAAGCTGGGAGCAGGGACACACATCACGTTGCAGTTACCTGGTTAGAGTCCTGGCTGTTGCACTTTTTAAAAAATATATATTTATTTATTTTTATTGGACTGTTAGATATACAGAGAGGAGCAGAGACAGAGAGGAAGATCTTCTGTCCGATGATTCACTCCCCAAGCGTCAGCAACGGCCAGAGCTGAGCTGATCTGAAGCCAGGAAAGAGGAGCCTCTTCCGGGTCTCCCACGTGGGCGCAGGGTCCCCAGGCTGTGAGCCGTCCTCCACTGCTTTCCCAGGCCACAGGCAGGGAGCTGGATGGGAAGTGGGCTGCCAGGACACAAACTGATACCCATGTTGGGATCCTGGCACTTGCAAGACGAGGACTTAAGCTGCTAGGCTACCTCTGCGGATCCACTGCTGTTCTGTTGAGTGATAGATATGGAGAGCAGCGGCTCAGGACACGGCCCACCCCAGGGTCACAGGGGCTGGGGGTGAGGAGTCAAGTCTTTCCAGAAAGTTCAGCTCCTGAGTGCCCCCTCCTGGGGCCTGAAGGACGCGGCAGAGAGAGACGCTCATTTAGAGAGACGCTCTCGCCTTCGTTTCCTTCTGCTCCACTTCCCTAACGGCCACAGGACCCAGGGCTGGGCCAGCCTGGAGCCGCGAGTCCGGAGCCCCAGCTGGGTGTCCCAGGCAGATGGCAGAGGACCCAGGGCTGGGCCAGCCTGGAGCCGCGAGTCCGGAGCCCCAGCTGGGTGTCCCAGGCAGATGGCAGAGGACCCAGCGCTGGAGCCCTCCCCTGCTGTCTCCCAGGGATGCTGGGGGAGCCGGCTGGCAAGAGGGACCCAGGGCACCCCAAGCAGGTGATCCCATGTGGCACCCGGGGAGGGGTGGGCGATCTCCAGCAGCTTAACCTGCCAGGCCACAGGCCGCCCTCCAGCCGGGGGCACTGAGGCTGGGGCTGCCGCGGGAGCTGCCTCGCCCTGTGCCTGGGACGCGCGGGGAAAGCCGGCACGAGGCATTTGCAGGGGGGTCGGGGTCAGGGTCGGGCTTGGGGCAGTCGTGTTGCTCAGCAGTCATGTGACCTGGCACTCCGACAGCCCCGCAGGATGTGGCAGGGACCAGGGGCCTTCCCTGGGCAGCGGGCACCACTGTCCTGGCGCAGCTCCGGCTGCCTCCCCACACGCTCCTACTGAGGTCACCGCAGGTGCCCAGCACACGAGGTCTGCCCTCCGTGCGGAAGCTGCTCTCACTCCCACCACGCTAACGGACTAGACAGTGCTTCCGGGCCTGGTGTGGTAGCCTAGTGGTTAGATCCTCGCCTTACACGCACCAGGACAATGCTCCCTGCTCATGAGCCTGAGAAAGCAGTGGGAGACCCGGATGGAGGCCCTGGCCACGCGGCACTCTGCGGCTGGGACAGTGGGCACACCTCTCACCCTGCCCTTCAGAGACCCAAAGACAAAGCCGGATGAGGACAGACACAGGGAACTTGGGTTCCTGGACATTTATTGCAACAAGTAACAAGTCACAACTTAAGAAACACAAGAGCCTTCTTCACACAGGAACGGAATGTCCTTTAGGTCCCACGGAGCACCGAACACGAACACCCGAGTGGGCCACTCCGAGCGCTGGGACGTGCGCGTGCGCAGTGGCCGACGGCCGAGCGCCGTCCCCACTGCCGTCCTCGCGGGGGGAGGCCCTGCAGAGGCAATGACAGGAAACTCAGTGACCGCCCCGAGGCCCTGCACCTGCTACGCCACGGCACAGGGCGTCCAGGAGCGAGCAGGGCCGCAGGGCAGCCCAGGACGGCACCTGCCTCCAGGCGCCAGCGCCGTGTGCGGTGCCGGGCAGGGTGGTGGGTGGCATGTCTGTGGAGCGTTGCCCGGCGTCTGCAGTGTGTACCAAGTCCTCCTCGGTGCCTCCCAGGCCAGGCGGGTGGCACTGGCCCAGCAGGCGCTCTCCACGGCGGCTCAGGGACCCTCAAGTCCCTCCCTCACAGAAAGTTCTGGAGCTTGGCAGTGGAGCACACGCGTGGCACCACCACCTTGGGTCCCGTGCTGATTCGGAAGGACTCCCTGCGGAGGGGTCTACGCACCCCTGGTGGACAACGCGGGCGGACTCCCTGCGGAGGGGTCCACGCACCCCTGGTGGACAACGCGGGCGGACTCCCTGCGTCCACGCACCTACTTGCCGGCCCGCTTGTGGCGATACATTTGCATCATGCGCTGGCGGAACACGTCGAACGTGTCCTGCTGCTGCCCGTCGGCCCCCAGGCCCTCCCCTCCCGAGGCCGTGCCCCTGCAAGGAAAGCAGCAGTGAGCTGTGCCCCTGAGCCCAGACACGGGGCTCCCGACGGACGGGGAGTGCGGGGCACCACCCACAGCGGTGCTGGCCCCCGAGGGGCAGGAGGCGTGCAGGGGAAAGGAGTGCCCGCTGTGGAGGCTGAGGGAGGGTGGGGGGCAGGAACACTGGGCATGTATCTCCCAGCTGCTCTCCTGCCTGCTGTGCGCTTCCGGAAACGGGCCAGGGTCCTACGGCCTCTACAAGGGTGACCCACCCATGCGGCTGAAACGCCAGGCAGACGGCAGACGTGTGTGTGTGTGTGTGTGTGTGTGTTACGCAGCGCGGGATGCCCGGCCCCCGCGTACATGCTCACGGGCTCCTGGATGCCCTTCCCGCAGGAGCCCAGCCCCCGGCCCTCCTGCCAGCCCATCTTCTGTAACATCTGGAAGCCGAGGTTCTTGTCGGTCAGCTTCTGCTGGACAAACTCAAGGTCCTTGGGTTTCTGTGGAGACAGGACAGCCGTGCATGCGGCCCCCAGGAAGGGCCGGCCATCAGGTCTCCTCCGGGCCAGGACTGGGCGCCCCCCGAGATGCTCTGATCCCTAGCCCCCCGCAGCCACAGTTTGCTGCAGGATCCCTGAGTGGGGCGGCACGCTCGCTTGCTACCAGTCAGAGCTCACAGGCTGCTGCCCAGCAGCCCAGCGCAGGCCCTGGGAGCAGAACCACAAAAGGTGGAAGCCCCCACCACAGGGTCAGCGGGGGTGATGCAGAGCGGGCACCTGGGAGGGCAAGGTGGTCCTGCGGTGACCCGGTGGGCACAGCCCGAGGCGGGCAGCAGGTGAGGGAGAAGCCAGCACGTGGAGGCCACAGCCGTGAGGGTTGCGTGTGACCTCCACCTCTGGCCCCAGCAACTGCAGAGCAGCCCACTCCACAGACACGAAGCATGGCCATGGCCTAAGGCCCAGGGCCTGGCCCTCAGCCCGGGCACGCCGGCTCAGCAAGAACACCTCAGGGAACACAGCGGCGTCCCCCGGAAGCTGTGACCGGGTGGGACGCCCACACTGCCTCACGCCAGCCTGACGCCGGCACAGCCACCTGCAACTGGCCCTCACACCGCTCCCCGTTCCTGACACCCCGGCCTCGCATGGGGTGCCCTTCAGCTCGATCGCATGCAGCCCACCTTCCCCCGGCCGCTGCTGTCCCACTGCAGTCTAAGCTGGCCTCAGGGCTGGCGCACTGGCCTAGCAAGTTAAGCCACAGTCTGCAAAGCTGACATCCCATATGGGTGCCAGTTCGAGAGCCTGCTGCTCCACTTCCCACGCAGCTCCCTGCCTGTGGCCTGGGGAAGCAGTGCAGCAGGGCTCCTGGCTCCTATCGGCTCAGCTCTAGCTGCTGCAGCCATCTGGGGAGTGAACCAGCAGTGGGAGACCTTCTCTCCGTAAAGGGATGCAGGGCTGCCTTCTGCTTCTGTCCACATGGTCTGCTGCTGACGGGGGCTGCCCTGGGCCTCTGCCCACGCTCTCTCCTCCCGGCCCGGGTCCCCCAACTCGGCTGCGCCCTCCCCAGGGCCACTGCTGTGGGCTGTGCTCACCCTGCCTCGGGCTGGCCAGCGGGGGCCTGGCACAGAGCAGGTGCTGTGTGGAGTGTGGACACGGCCCCCCATGCCACTGGCCCTTCCCGTAACCCCGTCCCGGCACCCAGGGGATGGCTGCCCCTCGCGGGGCCTCGACTCACCTTCTTCCTGGCGGCGGGCCGGCCCCGTGGCCTGTCGTAGGCGATGCGCACGGGCTCGTGCACTGGAAGACAAAGGACACGCGTGTGCACCCAGGGGTGCACTTCCTCCTGCTGGGCCGGGCGGGGAGTTGCAAGGTCATGCACAGGTCAGGGAGACGACCCACTGGGAAGTGAGCCTGCTGCAAGGTCAGCGATGCTGTGGCCACAGGCCGTGACTGGAGGGGTGCCTCCCAGTTCCCCACCGCCTCACAGAAGGCACCCTCTGCGCCCGTGTCCTGCGCCCGGCCAGCAGCCAAACCCCAGGGCCGGGCTCCCTGTGGGCTGCCTCGCCCTGGGAGAGTACGCTGCAACACGGGACTTGGTCACGCGGGGCGCGGTGAAGGAGTGAGGCACGACGTGTCCCCAACCCTGGCTCCTGGCAAGGCACTGGAAGACGGCCCAGGGCCTCGGGCCCTGCCACCCCCAGGCGGGAGACCCGGGTGGAGCTCCCAGCCTGGCCCCGCTGGCTGTTCAGGCACTTGGGCGGCGCAGCAGCGCGCAGGCGGACCCCTGGCTCTGGCACAAGGCCTCAGGACGCTCCCAGCAACAAGGAGGGAGTTTTATTCAGTGTGAACTGGCAGCCGTGCTGTGCCCACCTGCTGCCCGCGACTGCGCAGTGGGCTCGAGACTCAAGTCCAGGCTGCAACTTTCTAGCTCAGAGCACCAGGCGGCTTGTCCGCCACGTCCAGGCACGGGGCTGCAAGACGCTGGTGCGCTCGGCCGGCCTGGCTCTGCCTCACTGCCCACGCAGCAAACAAACTCAGGGCTTCCAAAGCCACAACCGCTCCGCCATGAGACACGGACCGAAAGCCTTCACGTGAACTCGGACCTTGACCAACTCGGCCTGGACCGCAGCATGATGAAATACATTGTTTTCAAGTTTTCTTTCTGAGGGAGAATGCTACATGTGCGGGAAGGGAGGCGAGGAAGGCGGGGCGGAGGAGAGCCCGGAACTGACCACAGGTAGGAGCACTGGATGCCCACGCACCCTCAGAAGCGGCCTCACCCTCAGTGGGAGCTGGGATACGCTGTGCCCTGCCTACGAGAAGGGGCAGCTCCCATCGCAGGGCAGGAGGCCCTGCCAGGCCCCAGCGGGCAGAGCAGCGGCCCTGGCGGAGAGCTCAGCTACAGCCCAAGGCTTCCCTGCCTCACTGCCATGACAGAAAGCTGGAGTCACCATTCGGGGCCTTCTCTGGGGGCTCAGAGGCCCCACCCCCAGGGCACAGGCTGGCTCAACTGGGTGCAGCTAGAGCGGGCACACCTGTCAGCACGTGCAGACCCAGAAGCCCCCACACCAGTGTACTGTGGCTCCCCAGGGCTGGGCCTGAGGCCGGCAGCACCCACGGCCCCACGGGGGCTCCCAAGGGCTGGGCCCGAGGCCGGCAGCACCCACGGCCCCATGGGGACTCCCCAGGTGCACACACCCAGCAGAACCATCTCAGATGGGACACCCAAGGCCAGTGGCCCTCACGCTGTGCCGGCCACCCTGGAGGCAGCGGTGGGTGCCATCCCAGGTCAGCAGGGACGCTGGCAGGCTCCTTAGGGACAGTGAGGCTGTCAGAGGGTCTCTGTCATCCCCAGCCGGCGGGCACTCACCCTTTGGTTCCTGCACGAGGCACACCCTCTTGGGGGCCGGGATCAGGCCGACCCGCAGGGACTTGCTGCTCATCCTCTTCCGGGGGAAGCAGCTGCCCAAGGCGGGCTGGGACTGGCCGGGCCCCGCGGCCGGCTCACCCTCAGCGGCCGCTCCCGGGAGGCCGTCGGCACAGGGGCTACCCTCCGAGCCCTCGGCCCTTCCTTGGCGACCAGGGGCCTCCTCCTCCTCCTCGTCCTCGTCCCCCTCCTCCAGCGCCGCCGTGGGGCTCCTGGGTCCAGCCTCCTGCTGGGCGGCCTCGGGGTCCGCCAGAGTCTCCATGCTCTTGTGGTCAGTGTCAGCGTGGAGGGCGGTGGGAGAGGAGGTGAAGCGCATGGACGGGCACAGTTCAAACACTTTCTTGCGGTAGAACTTGAAAGCGGAGCTGTCTGGGTCACGTAGGAACCTGGCCAGGAGGGAAGCACACGGGTTAGCCGGGGCTGGGTGCAGGAGACATGAGGCAGCGTGCAGCGTGTACCCCCCAGTACAGCCAGGGCAGGCTCGGGAGCTCCTGTGAGACGGGCCGAGTGGGGGTCAATCTGGGGGCCGTGTCCGGCAGGGGGTGGAGGAGCAAGGGTGTGGACGGCCGGGCTTCCAGCTGCACACTGGCTCTCTGGCCCCTCACACTCCCAGGGTGGACTGTGTCCAGGCTGGTCCTTCCACAGTTGGGCGGAGCCCCCTAGAGGCCAGTCGCCCACCAGGGTTCCCAAGGCCATTAGGAGGGCTCAGCTTTAAGGGCAACAGGACCACTGCCTCCCGGGGCAGGACAGAGACCACCCCCAGGGAGGACAGAGACCACCCCCAGACAAAAGCAGCTGTGATGGGACAGAAGACGGGAAACTTCTATATGTGGTGCTGAGTGACAGAACAAAGGTGCTCAGAGGGGGCTGCGGCCGGCAGGGTGCTGGACCGAGTGCTGCGTGGCAGGCCCTCCGTGGGGAGCCCCAGTTCTCCACTCCTGCCTGGCCGTGGCTGCTGCAGGCATTTAAGGGGTCAACTAGCAGAGAAGAGATTCTTACTCTTTTAAACAAAAGCACTAAAAGGCACCGCTCAGGACGCCCACACCCCACGCCCAAGCCCAGGGTCCTTCCAACACCGTGGTGGCCCCAGTTGGGGGTCCAGGCTGTGAGTGTGGGGGGCAAAGCTCAGCTCATACATCTGGGTGCCACACAGTGGAGTGGGCTCGATTCCTGTCCGAGAAGAGGTGTAACTTTTTGTCTCACATAGGCTCTGCAGCTGCCAGGCCGAGTGCCTGCCCCTCCATGGGGCTCCCAACTCAACCAAGGCCAACGGCAGTGCCCGTCACCTAGGTCCGCCTGGGGAAGGGTTACGCTGTCACTGCTCTGCTTTCCTGAGCTGACACCTGCTCAGCCCCTTCCGAGAGGCCTTCCCCGACACCCTGGCCCACAAAACACATGCTCTGGGGACTCGGAGCTGCTGCAGGGGGGCGCTGGCTAGGCCGCCCCGAGGGCTCCACGCACCCATGCGTGTGGTCAGAACAGAAACGCGGGGTGAGGAGCAGGCACTGGGGCCAGCTGGCACTGAGGGTTGGTATCTGGCTCCCCGCCCCTGCCAACGCTGGGATGCTCGGGTGACATGCTGAGGCCACCCTCCCAGCTCTCTGGCCTTGTCCAGCCCTGGCTGTCACAGGCTTCTGGGGTGGGACACACGGACAGGCCCTCTGTCTCTCAGGAAAAACCAGCAAGCAAACAAATAAACCAAGCCAGCAGGCGGGGAGGAGTGGGTGGCGGAAGGCACCACGTACCACAGGTCGGGGTTGTCGGCGCTGTTTTCTATGCTGAACTGTTCGATTTCCGGTCCCACCTGAGCCACGAACCTGGCCAGTTTCTCGGCAGTCTGCAGCGTCTTGAGGTCCACTGCGGAGCAGAAGGCCTGTGTTACAGGTGCGGGCACGGAGCCAGGCTGCGTACACCCACTGCAGAGGTCCTGCGTGTGGCCCGACCTGCATCCGGGGCCTGCAGGGGACGCTCTGCTGAGGCTGGCTGCGGGGAAGGCTGGCCGGCAGCTGTGGCCTCCGCTCTGGGAGCCTGGCCACCCCCTGGGCTCAGCACACACAGCCTCGGGGTGACCCCGGAGGCGCGGGCAGGGTGGCCTGGGACAGGGCAGTCACCAGGCAGGTGCTGGGGACATGTGGGGGGGGCACGCTGGTCACAGGAATGGCGCCAGGAGGGGGAGACGCGCCAAGTCGCTGAGCTCAGGAGACACTTTGCAGAGAACATGAGAAAGACAGGCCTTGGAGGAGGCAGAAGATGGGGAGGCTCCTAGCGGGATGCGGACGTTAAGAACCCCTTGTCTGTCATCTCTCCCCAGGCGACTCGGTGTGACACAGTGAGGTGCTGGCACCGAGTCCTTGCGGGAGGACCCAGCGTGGCCCACAGCTGCCCTGGCCGCCTGCACGGGGAGCACACACACAGCCTGCCAGGGGAGACGGGTGTGCCAGGTCTGTCTGGGCCCTGTCGCCACGCCTGCCACCTCTCCCTCGGGTTCCGGAGAGACCCCGGGGATGTCAAGATTGGGACCTAGGAGGGAACACGCACCGTCGGCGGAGAGGCAAGGAGAGGAAGCTCGGGGGACTCCAGCCGGCTCGGGGGTCGGCCCCGCGGCTGGGCCGGGCGGGCAGCCCTGGGCGGCATCGTGGGTATCGAGTTTTGCCGGGGAGGTGCCCGGGGCCTGCCGGCCGGGGGGCTTGAGGCCCGAGGCCACGGGGGTCTGAGTCCCGGCGGTCACCCGCTTGGCCTTCCAGCCGCGGAGCCCCTGCGGCCGCAGGGGTCCCCGGCGTTGCCAGGGCTGCAGCTTCTTCTTGAGGCTGCGCACCGCCCGCGCGTACAGCATGGCCCGCACTGCACACTCCACCGCTGTGGGCTTCTGCCCGCCGCCCGCTCCTCGCAGGGTCTGGCTCAGGCGCTGTGTTTCTGCCAACTTCAGCTTGTAATACTTATACTCCAGGCTGTCTTCATCCGAGAGAAACCTAGGGCACAGAGGGCACAGTGGGGCCCGGGTGACACCGCCACCAAGCAGGGACCGAGGCTGCAAGCTGAAGCGGTGCCTCCTGGAGCACTCGAGGCTTGCAAGAAACAAGGACTCCAGCCAAAGGCATCGGGGCCGGGGCTGTGGCACAGTGGGCAAAACCACCACATGGGGTGCAAGCCGGCACCACACACGAATGTGGGTTCATGTCCTGGCAGCTCCACTTCCCATCAGCTCCCTGCCTGCAGCTTGGGAAAGCAGTGCAGGACGGCCCAAAGCCTGGGGACCCTGCACCCGTGTGGGAGACTCAGAGGAGGCTCCTGGCTCCTGGCTTGGGACTGGTGCAGTCACTTGGGGAGTGAACCAGCAGATGGAAGATCTTTCTCTCTGTCTCTCCTTCCCTCTGTAGATCTGCCTTTCCAATAAAAATAAGTAAATCTTAAAAAAAAAGGAAAAGACAAGGTGGAAAAGATGTTTGGTTTCTGACTTACAGAGAGAAGGAGAGTCAAAGACAGCTCGGTGCTCTGCATCCTGGGGGGCTCATCTCCCACAGGAAGCCCAGGCCCGGGGCCCCCACGACGCAGGAACAGACGTGGGGCAGCCCCCACAGCACGGCAGCGGCCCCAGGCAGGAGTGAGCGGGGACCTACCAGTAGGCAGGGTCCTCCTGCAGCTCGGCTCTCTCCTTGGGGGACAGGCTGCCCTCGACGACCCGTGCCACAAGCTGCTCGATGGTGGCCGCCACCTGGTGGTCTGCTCGCTGGGGGACGGCTGCAACACACACACGGTGGCTTTGTGGACAAGCTCACCACACACCGTGCCGCCGAGGGGTGGCTGCAGGAGCGAGAAGGGCCTGCACACTGTCGCTGGCCACCACAACGCGCGGGCCAGGATGGCACGTGAGGGTCAAGGCCAACTTATCAGAGAGAGGTGGTCACAGGGAGAGACACAGTGGGGGAGCTGAGAAAGTTGGGGCGACCCAGACCTCTCCCTGGGCCCCCGGAGAAGCTAACAGGGGCTAGGGGTAGCGAGTGGGCCTTCCTTCCTGGGCACGGCTCGTGGTCTGGGCTGGGTACGTGTACCGGGGCTGCGGGGCTGGGTACGTGCACCGGGGCTGCAGGGCAGGGGAGAAGGGAACCTCAGCCGGGGCTGACAAAGGGCCCAGGAGAGTACAAAGCCCCCACAGTGCAAGGACACGCCCTTCCGTCTCATTCCCAGAGGGGCGTCTGAGGGTCCCCGGGGCACAGGAGTCCTGTCACTCTCCAAAAATACAGACGGGCACGCTCAGCTCCCAGGGTGCGGGTGCCACCCTGAACCCATGGCAGTGGAACATCAGTGAGGAAGGTTGCCAGCTGCACTGACCATCGACACGGTGTGGACCGCTGGTGCCCCATGCCGCCCTGGCAGCGCCACGTGGCAGCTCCTGGCAGTGCGTCAGCTGAGGGCTGGCCTGCAGGAGCCCAGCTCTACTGGAGGAGGGGAGTGGATCCGTCCTGGACAAGGTCCCTGAGCATTCGGGGACTTGGCTGTGTCTGAGGGGACTGGACCAGGTCTCAGTTCCAAAACAGAGGTGGGGTGCCGAGCCCTGACCTTCTCTGGTCGCCGTGCTTTCTGCTCAAAGCCGAAGCACACGTGTGAAACCTGCGAGCAGCCAGCACAGTGGCTCAACAGGCCAAGCCTCCACTTGCAGCCCTGGCACCCCAGACAGGCGCTGCTTCCCACCCAGCTCCCTGCCTGTGGCCTGGGAAAGCAGTGGAGGACGGCCCACAGCCTTGGGACCCTGCACCCATGTGGGAGACCTGGGAGAGGCTCCTGGCTCCTGGCTCTGGATCGGCTCAGCTCCGGCCGCTGCGGCCACTTGGGGAGTGAACCAGCAGGTGGAAGATCTTTTTCTGTCTCTCCTCCTCTCTGTAAATCTGTCTTTCCAATCAAAACGTAAACAAAACAACAGGAGACATCCCAGAAAAGGGCGATGCGCCAGGCACCCACACGGGCAGCCCCGGCCGCGCACCGCGCCCTTACCGCTGCTCGCGCGCTGCGGAGCCGCGACCTGGACTTGGGGCGTGGTGGGAAGAACCACCTCCTCTGGCGTGGGCTCGGCCGGGGCCTTCTTGACCCGCAGCGGGCAGCCGCTGGCGAGCAGCCAGGCCTTCAGATGCTCTACGTACTCGCGTCCAAACAGCATGGAGTCCTCGAAGTTGGGGAAGGCGGCCGGGGAGGGGGCTATGTCTTGCAGCCCCACCGCTTCCAGAATTTTCTCCTGGCGGAAAGACGAGGCCAGGGAGAAGGTCTGGCCCAGGAGGGCCAGAGACTTGCGGCAGAGGGAGTTGGTGGTCTCCAGGGCCACGGCCAAGTCCAGGGGGCTGGTGAGGGTCTTCATCTTGACGCTGAGCTCGTAGGCGTTGCAGGCCATGAGCAGCGGCGTGGCGCTCTTCAGCAGCCGGTCCTGCAGCCGCATCATGTACTTGTCGAAGGGCTTGACGACCTCAAAAAAGCAATTTTTGGTCTTCACGGCACCTCTGTCCAGGAGCAGGTTCAAAAACTCATTGTCCACCCGAGGCGTCTTGAGGGCCGCGTGCTTTAAGAACTTGACGGTGAAAAAGCAGAAGTCGCGGTGCTCGGGCCGCAGGGAGCATTTGAAGGAGGCCAGGGTTTTGGCGCAGGTCTCCGTCTCAAGTTCAAACAGGGTGTGGAAGAGCTGCGAGAACTTGAGGTCGTCCTTGACGGTGTGGAAGCCCGCCCACCTGATGATCTCCAGGCCGAAGTGGGAGAACACGTCGGCCTTGTCCGCGGCCTCGCAGCGCGTCCTCCTGCGCCGGAAGCGAGCGCCCTTCAGCTCCAGCCCCGGCGGCACCTGCTGCGCGGGGAACTGGAGCTCTTCCGGTCCTGGCACATCTGGGCTGGGGCTGTTTTTCTGGCTTTGGCTCGTGCCCTGAGCTTTGGGGCTCACCCGACTGACTGAGGGTCCTTTTTTGGAGCTGACATTCCTCAGAGAGCCCAGCTTTCCGGCGCCCGCGTCCGCAGGGAGCAGGCCCCGCGCCTCCAGGAGGCCCAGCTCGTGGCCTCTGGGCTGGCCCTGGCCACTGGCGGCCCTGAGCAGCGCCTCGGTCTCGCCCCGACTTTCTTTCTCCAAAGCCTCCTTCTCCAGCACCCTGGGGAGGCTGAAGGGCCCCAGGCCGCGGGTCGGCCCGAGGCCACACGCCTGCGGCCAGGCCTGCTGGGCCGCCACGTGCTCCCAGGAGCCACGCAAGGCAAACTGCCGGTCCTGGAGGCGCAATGTCCCCGCCTTCTGGGGGCCCAACACCTGCTCCTGGGCGTCAGGGTGCGACAGTTCCAGGGTGCGGGCACCTTCTTGGTGGAAGCAGCTGTCACCGCCGCAGGCTGGGGTGCCGGGCCTAAAGGCGGGCCCTGGGAACACGCCTCCGCGGCCCGCCTCGCTGGAGGGGCCCAGGAAGCCGCCGTGGAGGCCCTGGTACACCTCCGCCCTGGGTCTCGGGAGCGTCCGCAAGATATCTGAAAAACACAGAACACCTCAGCGGACCAGACGCTGCCAACGACGGCCTGTGCGTAGCCAGCTGGCACCTTCTCTAAGATCCCATGCGTGCTTGGCACTGACGCGATGGGCACTGCGGGTCAAGCCACTGCCTGCGACTCCGGACCCACGTGGGCTGCTCCACTTCCCATCCAGCCCCCTATGTACACAGCATTTCTGTTGCACTGGGCACAGGTCACCCACCCTGGGAGGGGGCGGGGGCACGCAGCCTAGAGCAGGTGTCAGTCTAAACGCTCCGGTACCACCCTCAAGGGCCTGGGTTCGACGCCCAGCTTCAGCTTGGGACTCCAGCGACCTGCCAAGGTTGAACCCACGATGGGATTCCTGCCAGCCACGTGGAGAGGCCGCACTGCGTTTGGACCCCTGGCTTCGGCCTGGCCTAGTTTAAGCTGCTGGAGCCACTGTGGGGGGTCGTTAACCTCTCGCTGCCTCCCAAATTTAAAATAAAAGTTTTGAAAAATCGGGTGCCCCATTCTCTTGATACTAAACTTGGTACGTAGAAGGACAAGTACAAGTCGGATGCCAACACTGGGCACTTCCTGAGAGGCACCGGAGCTGCCCCAGGTCGTCCACCCTACCCCGAGCCAACCCGCCCCACAGTCACACAGCCCTGGTGGCATCTGGGCTTGAGTCCCCCAAGAGCAAGGACAAGGTGCTTGGGCCTCGAGTGACCTGGACTTGTTGAAGCGTGTCCAGGACATTCCATGTTTCTGTTCCTGTCTGCTAGCTCGCGGGCCGGAGGCGCAGTCCCTGTGCGGGGGCACCCGGGAGGCCACGGCCGTGCGCGACGCCACGCTCACCTCGGCTGCCCCACGGCTGCCCAGAGCGGCCCAGCCGCCTCTGTCAGGAAAGGACAGACTGAGGCGGGTGGAGGGGCAGGGCAGCCAGTGCTAGACAGGCAGAGAGAGAAGAAAAAGGGCGGGGGGAGGCTACGCTGCACACTGACCCGCGGTTACTCTCCTCCCTTGATGAAAGGACGTGGGGAGGGTCCAGCGCAGTAGCCTAGTGGCAAAAGTCCTCGCATTGCACGCACCGGGATCCCACATGGGCACCAGTTCACGTCCCAGCTGCCCTGCTGTCCACGCAGCTCATCTGTCCCTCCTGCCCAGCCCGCTCCCCACGCCTCCTCCGTCTACCTTGTGGTTTGAACGGCATCGTCTCGCCGCCAGCCTCGCCGCCGGGGTCCGCGTGGTACCGCCGGGCTTTCTCCTGCAGCACCGTGTCCAGGCTGCCCGGCGTCATTCGTCTGGCTGTCATGCCTTCCGTGCCTGCCGACAGGGGAGGAGACACGGACACAGTGAGAGGAGCCACGCTCTGCTCGCTCAGCCTACTGTGTGTGGGAGCCCTGGGGTGAGACGTGGGGGGCCGAGGAACCTTCCGGGAGCGCTCAGCCTGGAATCTAACCGGAGAGGTGGGAGCAAGGAGGCTAAACCTCTGCCCGTAACCGCCAGCATCCCATAGGGGCGCCAGTTCTAGTCCCGGCTGCCCCACTTCCCACCCAGCTCCCTGCCTGTGGCCTGGGAAAGCAGTGGAGGACGGCCCACAGCCTGGGGACCCTGCACCTGCGTGGGAGACCCGGAAGAGGCTCCTGGCTCCTGGCTTCAGATCAACTCAGCTCCAGCTGCTGTGGCCACTTGGGGAGTGAACCAGCAGATTGAAGATCTGTCTTCCTCTCTCTGTAAGTCTGTCTTTCCAATTCAAGTAATCTTTTTAATTGGTCTTTTTTTTTTTTTTATTAGAAAGTCAGACATGTGGGTGCAGGGTCCCCAGGCTGTGGGCCGTCCTCCACGGCTTTCCCAGGCACAGGGTGGGAAGTGGAGCAGCCGGGATTAGAACCAGTGCCCTTGTAGGATCCTGATGCCTGTAAGGCAAGGACTACTTCGCTGGGGATCTCTAAAATATTTTTTTTTTTAAAGAAAAGGGTGGTCCCAGGTACCCGGGGGTCACTCCACCCACAATGGGGCTGGGGATGCAGCGGGCAGGCGGACTCCCGGGCTGGGTCGTCGCTCTGCACCCAGGGGGGAGGTGACATGGCAGGAGGGGGTCAGAGCAGGGTGCCGGGCTGGGGTCCCTGGGGGGGAGGTCACCCCGAAGGGGACGACCCGCACACCCCGGCCTTCGAGAAGGAAAAGCTCCCCGGTCCGCAAGCCCCCCGTGCCGCCATGCCAGGCCCCTCGCCCAGCCTGCCTGTCAGGGGGTCGGGGGTCGGGGGTCGGGGATCGGTGATCGGGGTTCGGGGATCGGGGGACGGGGGTCGGGGGACGGGGGTCGAGGGGACCGGGCACACCACCCCGACGCCCACGCCGGCCGCCGGGCCCGGCCTCCCCACCCCGGCCGCCTCGGGCGCCTCCGCCGCCGCCGCCCCGGGAGGCGGGGCCCGCGCACGGCCGCACGCCAACCGTCTCCGCAGCGCCGCGCGGCGCATGCGCACGCCGGCGCCGCTGCTGCCTGCCGCCGCGCAGGCGCACGCCGCTCCGCACTCGGGGCGGCCCCGCTTCCTGCTGCGCTCGGGGCGGGTCCTTTTCCTCCTCGGCGCGGGAAACCGGGCACCCCGAGCCCGCTGCCCTCGCTGCCCTCGCTGCCCTCGCTGTCCTCGCTCACGTTTTGAAGGCGCTTGGAGTGACCTCAGCTCGGGGGTCGAGGCGGGCAGCAGGGGCGCCCCGAGTGCGGCGGCGTCCCTGCGCCTGCGCGCCGACGGCGGCCGGGAAGGGTCCTGCGGCGGCCGTGACAGCTTGTCCCCCCGCCCCACGTGGCGGCCAGGTGAGGTGGACGCCCCTCACCCCAGTGTCCAGGGGGAGAAGGTGGGCGCCGCAGGCGTCGGGCTCGCGTGCCCGGCGGCCGCCCTTGCGTTTGGGGAACGGGTGGCGTGGGAATACAAAGTGCCCTCCCTGTTTGCCCGGCGTCCGTTTTATGTATTTATTTTATTCATTTGTTTATTTACGTATCATGCATTCCATCACTTGGGTGACCTGCCTGCCTGTTGGGGAGCCGGGGCTAGGACGGCCAGGGTGTGTGTACGTTGCAAATGAATGAATGGACGCCGAGGCCTCCGCCCTGCGAACAAGCCGGTGGGCTTTGAGTCGATTCTTGATTTGAAAGGAAAGAGAGGGAAAAAAGCTCTTTTTTTGGCTGGCTGTGCCCACAGCATCTGCAAGTCTTCCCGGCTCTCCTGCGTGGGGGTACCGAGGGACCCCACCCCAAGTGCCTGAGCCCCGGGGTCCACCTCCTGACTGCTCTGGGGGACCCCTGCCCACCCTGAGGGAGAAAGAATGGAAGAACCAAGGTGGGTGTGGCAGGTAGGTAGCTGAAATTTCTTTTTAAATTTTCCTTGGAAAGGTAGATTTCCGGAGAGGGAAAGTTCTCTGTGGAGGGGCGGCCGGCGCGCCCGACGCCCGCGCGTGGTGCCGGCCACCATGGCCTCCAAGCGGATCGCCCAGGAGACGTTTGACGCCGCCGTGCGTGAAAACATCCAGGAATTCGAGATGGAGCCGGAGGAGGCCGTGAGGGAGGCGGTGGAGCAGTTCGAATCCCAAGGTAGGGCCGTGAGGGTGGGCCCTTCTGTGGGCAGCACAGCAGCTGGGTGCCCAGGAGGGGTCCTCATCCCCTCCCTGCCCTGGACAGCTTGGCCACCCTGTCCTGTCTGGGCCTCCATGTTTCTCGGGTGGAGTACAGCAGCTGTGAGGGGGCCGCCTGCAGGGTGCGGGCACAGTGTCAGAAAAGCCAAGGGGCTCCTCAGCAGGCAGGGAAGTGGGCGTGCACACCCCCCAACCACGCCCTCCCTGTACCCCCAGTCTGCGGCTGGGCTGTTGGGCAGTGGGAGGTACCTGATGGGCTAGGGGGTGTCCCCCTCTCTGCGCCCCCAAGGCAGAATGCACCCCCACATCCTGGATGGGCTCACCCCGCACGCAGCTGCCAGCCCCAGCCCAGCCCAGGTGTGAGGGGCGCTGGTGGGGGCCCCTACAGTGGGGGAGAAGACACAACCCCAGCAGGTGGCTGTCCCCTCGTCCCCTGCAGGGGTGGACCTGAGCAACATTGTGAAGGTGGCGCCCAAGGTGTCAGCGGACGGGCTCACGGAACCCACCCACGATGTCCTGAAGGTGGGAGCTTTGGGGCCAGAGGGGGGTCCTCGGATCCCAGAGGGGCAGGGCAGGGGCGGGGTGTTACATGAGGGTGGGCAGGGCACGGGCGTGGTGGGGTGGGGCCTGGCAGGGCAGAGCAGGGCGATGGGGGCAGAGCCTGGCAGGGGCAGGTGTCAGCCCTGCTGCTTGAGGTTGCCGCATGTCCCCACCGTTGAGCCCACATCCGAGGGTGGCACAGCTTTTTGGGGGACATGGGTCAGAGGGCTCTGACCACCACACCCGTTCACCCTGTGACCGGAGCAGGCTCTGCCCTCCAGGTTCACTTGATGCTGGGGGGCCAGGGTCTAAGGACTCCTGCTGGAGACGGGTGGGTGGCAGTCAGGAGGTGGGGGGTTGGTGCCAGACAAAAGTGAAAGTTAAAGAGCATTTTCTGCTGGCGTGAAAGGCAGATGCAGAAGCCGGAAGCAACAAACGGGGCTCCCACCCGGGTCACAGAGCCCCAAGCGCCGATTGGCCACGGCTTGCTGCCTCCCAGGGTTGACGATGGAAATTACAGAAAGAAAAGAAAGAAAAAAAAATTAGAAAGATGTATTTAATTGGAAAAGTTAATGAGAAGGGGAGAGACAGAGAGATCTTCCGTCTGCTGGTTCACTCTCCACATAGCCACAGTAGCCAGGGTTGAGCCCGGAGCCTCCCCCCGGTCTCCCACGCGGGTGCAGGGTCCCAAGGCTGTGGGCCGTCCTCCACTGCTTTCCCAGGCCACAGGCAGGGAGCTGGATGGGAAGTGGGGCAGCCGGGACTCGAACTAGCGCCCACAATGGGATGCCGGCACCAGACAGCGCATTTGCCCGATAGAGCACGGCGTATGTCGTTGGTCTGTGCCTTAGCGGTTGCTCGGTTAGAACCACAGATCCCGGTCATTCAAGCTGATAGCACTCCTCGTGACACCCCACCCTTCCCAGGGGGTGCCAGCCCACACACAGGCGCCTGGGCTCCAGGCTAGGGGCTTCTCTGGTTCCTGGTTAGTGCCAGCGTCATGCGCTTGAACGTGCCCACGCTGGACTGGTCTGCCGCAGCCATGTCCGTTCCCAAGCCTCCACTGCACTGCTTTTCTCGCCTGTGGCTTAGAGCTGGGACTGGGGCTCCGTCAGCAGCATCGGGGGGTCTGGTTTGGGGGTTGCTGTGTAAATATTTGTGAAGAGCAGACTTGTGAAGGATGAGGTATGAGGGAGGCGGCCTCGTGCGTCCTTCTCGAGTGTCGGCTGGTGACGCCCACGTGCTGACGAGCAGAGGTGCGCCCAGCTCGAGTCGGCCTGGCTGGCTGGGCTCCGCAGGGACGCTGTTCTGCCCCTGGTGCTCGTAGACGCTGAAATCGGTGGTCCCTTCTTTCCCCACCGCCTCTGTGGCCTCTGACGTCCGAGGCTCCGAAAGGCACAGGGGCCGGGCTGGAGCTGGCCGCCATTATTCCGCGCACCGAGTAATGCCGAGGTCTGTCCCGTGTGTCGCAGGCCCTGGACGACCTGCAGGAGTCGGTGACCCTCTCGCGGCCACAGGAGGCGGCAGCCCAGCTCGCCCGTTTCTGTGAGCACTGCAGAGCGCACAAGGGTAGCCACTTCTTGGCAGCCCAGCACGGGGCGTACCCCGTCATCCTGGCCGCCTGGAAGCTGGCTGCCGGCGACCCCGGCCTCGTGCTCCCGGCCCTCAACGCCCTCTCGTCCCTGACCGACGGCCAGCCCGACCTGCTGGACCCCCAGGGTCTGCAGCTGCTGGTGACCACGCTGGCCCGGCACGCCGACGCGGCCGACCTGACGTGCTCCGGGCTCCGCTGCGTGCGCCACGCCTGCCTCAAACACGAGCACAACCGGCAGGGCCTGGTGAAGGCCGGCGTGCTGCCCCTGCTCACCGAGGCCGTCGCCCGGCACGGCCGCCACGCCGACGTGGTCAGGGAGGCCTGCTGGGCCCTGCGTGTCATGACCTTCGACGACGACATCCGGGTGCCCTTCGGCCACGCCCACGACCACGCCAAGATGATCGTGCAGGAGAACCAGGGCTTGAAGGTCCTCATCGAGGCCGCTAAAGGTAGGAGGGGGCAGCCGGGAAGGCGGCCTGGGAAACGGGGGCGTCGGCGGGTGAGCCTGGCACAAGTGAGTCAGGATGTGAGACTGCTTCAGGCACAGCTGGCTCCAGCCCCCACTCCCTTCCCTGCCTAGTCTAACTTGCGTGGCCCCCCTACTGGCCGAAGGCTCTGGAACTGCCTGCTCTGTCCAGCGCAGCCGACCGAGAAGGCCTGGCCAAGGTTCAGCTCACAGAACGTGTGCGATGAAGTGTGCACATGTGGACGAAGGCTTTAAAAATCAAACAAGAAAAACTGCACAGTGGGTTTTTTTTTTTTTGCCATCTTCCATCCACTGGTTCACTTCCCCAATGGCCACCCTGGCCACCCTGGGCCAGGCCAGAGTTGGAGCCTCATCCGGGTCTTCCATGGGGGCTCAGGGGTCCAAACACTTGGGGTCTCTTGTTTTGGCTCTCCCAGTGCCTTAGCAGGGAGCTGGTTAGGAAGTACAGCCGCCGGGACTTGAACCAGCAGCCATGAGACGCCAGGGTCAGGGGCAGCAGCTTCATGTGCTGTGCCACATCACCATGCCCAGACTGGGGACGTGGCTCTTAACATCGGGTGGGTCCCTGGCACAGTAGCCTGGCAGCCAAAGTCCTTGCCTTACACATGCCGGGATCCCATGTGGGCTCTGGTTCTAATCCCAGCAGCCCTGCTTCCCATCCAGCTCCCTGCCTGTGGCCTGGGAAAGCAGTGGAGGATGGCCCAAAGCCTGGGGACCCTGCACCCGTGTGGGAGACTCAGAGGAGGCTCCTGGCTCCTGGCTTCGGATCAGCTCAGCTCCGGCCGTGTGGTCACTTGGGGAGTGAAGCAGTGGGTGGAAGATCTTGCTCTCTGTCTCCCCCTCTGAAGGGGCTGCAGGGCAGGTCCTCACTCGCCTCTCCCACCCGCCAGACCCCATGGGCGTTCTCTCGGGCTCCGCCCTGCAGGCCATCAGCTCACCAGAGACCCCACCCCCTGTCCTCGGCCATGTTGACGTGAAGGCCGTAGTGGACAGTGACCCCCGATGACCCATGATCCCACGGCACGTCCCCCCAGGTTCGTGATGGACTCCCCAGTATCCCGCCCCCCGCCCGTGTCCACCAGCAGCTGAGTGCGGCCGGAGGCACGGGCCTTCGTTTCGCCAGCTTTCACCTGCCGATTGATTGATTTGAAAGGCAGAATTGCCGTAAGAAAACGAAAGCTGGGGATCGTCCATGCACTGGCTCGCGTTCTAAATGGCCGCATGGCCACCACAGCCTTGGTCAGGGGCCGGAAGCTGGACCTGAGACAGCTGGGGCTGGATGCTGTGGCATTGCACGTAAAGCTGCCGCTTGCCACCCGGCGTCCCACAGTATGCTGGTTGGTGTGCTGGCCGTGCCGCTTCCAGTCCAGCTCCCTGCTAACACCCCGGTGAGGAGCAGGACCCCACGCCTCCTGGCAGCCCCCAGTGGTCCCTGGCGTCTTCCCCCGTGCTGTCGTAGACCACCCCTCCAGCTCCCCCCCAGGAGACAGCTGCTTCAGCAGTGAGTGCCCCTGTGCCCCCCAGCGTTCCCTGACAACCCTGGCGTCCTGGGCGAGCTGTGCAGTACCCTGGCCCGCCTGGCCGTCCGCAACGAGTTCTGCCAGGAGATCGTGGACCTCGGGGGCCTGGCCGTGCTGGTCACCCTGCTGGCCAACTGCAGCGAGCACCAGGTGGGGCCTCCCCGTTCATACCCCACTCCCCGCCCCAATTCCACCTGTCCTTTCTCTGCCCCAGTCCTGGCCAGCAACCCGACAAGCCCACCCTACGTGCCCCCAGCAAGCACAACGGGGGCAGTCAGATGGTCCAAACGGCCCTGGGTCCACCTCCACACCACGCCTGCCTCCCTCTGCGCAGCGAGTCGTCACCCCACGGTCATGACTCGCGACCCCTGCCCTTTGAGCTCCCCTCCCAACCCAGCACCCAGCAAGCCACGGGGAAGGGTGCCCCCGCCACCTGCAGCTGACCGCGCCCTGGCCTGTGCGCAGGACCTGGTGAAGCAGGTGCTGAGTGCACTGCGGGCCATTGCGGGCAACGATGACGTGAAGGACGCCATTGTCCGTGCGGGCGGCACCGACTCCATCGTGGCTGCCATGACCCGGCACCTGGCCAGCCCCCAGGTACCAGCCTTGGCGGGGCTGGGGTGGATGGCACACTTCCCCTCCGTCAGGCCGGCCGTGGCCTTGGGTGTCCCGGGAATGGTGCCGTCGGGCTGTTCTGGGGTTTGACACTCCGAGGAGGCGGAGGCCTCAGCTGTGCCCTGTCCCCGGCCCTGCCTCAGGTGTGTGAGCAGAGCTGTGCGGCCCTGTGCGTCCTGGCCCTGCGCAAGCCGGAGAACTGTCGGGTCATTGTGGAGGGCGGCGGGGCCCTGGCGGCCCTGCGGGCCATGAAGACGCACCCCCAGGAGGTCGGCGTGCAGGTGCGTCTGGCCTCGGCTCAAGGGGGGCATTGGCGCCTCAGGTGGTCACCTGAGTCTCTTCCCTGGCCGGGATGAATGCTGGGCCCATTCCAGAGGACAGTGGCCTTTGACTGTGGACCCCAAGGCCCTGCGGCAGCTCAGCCGTGGCCCACAGGGCCCCCCCCCCGGGCTTGCCGCACAGCTGGTGTCAGGCTGGATGGGGCAGCCCCGGGTGCTGCCTGAGCTTGTCTCCCTCCAGGGCTGCTGAGAACTTGGCGTGGGAGCAGGGGGCCTCCCCTGGGCACCCCTGTCCCTACGCCCTTGGCGTTAGGCTGTCAGGGTGCGGGTTCCCAACGTCTGACCCCCCACTTTCACACACTGCTGCAGAAACAGGCCTGTATGCTGATCCGCAACCTGGTGGCCCGCAGCCAGGCCTTCTGCAAGCCCATCCTGGAGCTGGGCGCCGAGGCTCTCATCGCGCAGGCCCGGGCGGCCCACCGTGACTGCGAGGACGTGGCCAAGGCCGCCCTGCGGGACCTGGGCTGCCGCGTGGAGCTGCGCGAGCTGTGGACCGGCCAGAAGGGGGACCTGGCGCAGTGACCGGCGCCACCCCCAACCCCAGCCCCGACCCTGGCTCGGGGTGGGACCACAAGGGATCCACTAACTCTGCCCCTTGCGTGGCGCAAGGTGCCCTGGCAGGAAGCAGGTAACAGCATTTTGGGGGCGTCTCTGGGGCGGAAGCAGCCACCCACCTCCTCCCCCAGGGCCCTGCTCCTCCTTTTCTGCAGGCAGAGGGCACCCCCGCCGCTGCCCTGCCACTCTACCGAGTTCAGCCTGTTGTGGGCCAGTCTTGGAGCAGGGCCGGCTGGCCGGCTGGCTGGACTGGGGTCCCGGCACCTGCTCCCCACACAGCCATTCAGACCTCCACGCCTCTCCGGCACACGGGTTGTTGTGCCGGCCAGGAAACCAGGCACACGGGCTGTGTGTTTCTGGGGACCAGGCAGGCCGCAGGGCCTGATAATAAAAGACCACAGGATGGACAGTGGAGGCGTGCTTGGCCGTGGGCCCAAGGCGGACACTGGGGGAGGTTGCGGGGTGGCCGTGGGAAGTCGGGCGGCTTTGGACATGTCTGCGATGGACCTTGGGACTGTGGGAAGTTTATGCAAAACGTAGTGACAAGATTGAGGGTCAGAATTGTGGTCTAGTAGGTTAAACTGCCACTTGCTTTGGTGGTATGTCATGCAAGCACTAGTTCGAGTCCCGGCTGCTCCACTTCCCACCCAGCTCCCTGCCTGTGGCCTGGGAAAGCAGTGGAGGACGGCCCAAAGCCTGGGGACCCTGCACCCGCGTGGGAGACTGGGAGAGGCTCCTGGCTCCTGGCCAGCCCCTGGCTGTGGCCCATGGGGCAATTTGGGCCTGAACCGATGGGTAGAAAACTTCAGTCTCTCCCCACCCCAACTGTAATGTTCAAAAAAACAAATATATATACTAAAAAATACTCTTTTTTAAAAGTGGCTTTTTTGTAAAAAAAAAAAAAAAAAAACACAGAAATCCCTACATAAATCCCCCCCCTTTTTTTCCTTTTTTTTTAAGATTTAGAAAGACTTAGAGATTTTCTATTCATCGATTCACTCCCCAAGTAGCTGTAAAAGCTGGGCCTGCTCAGGGAAATCTCAGAGCCTCTTCCGGTCCCCCACGTGTAGCATGGGTCTCCTCCGCTGACCCCCTGTTCCTCACTTCACTCGCCCGCCCCCTCAGCGGCGGCGGCAGTGTAGACCCCAGCTGTCCCACTTCAGTCCCCGTCACAGCCGCCTCGGCGTCCCTGGTGGGGCCGTCCCCAGCCGCCCGTGCCTGGAGTCCTCTCCTGTCTCGGCTGGCCCTGCAGGGGGCGCTGGCCGTGCTCTTGCCTGACTCCCCTGCGAGGGGACGCAGGGCAGGGGGCGGCTTCTGCAAGCGCCACCCTCCCTGCCAGACCAGAGGGTGTGCAAACCTCTGACCCGCTCCCCTGGCCCTGCAGGGGCCGCTGGGGCAGATGTGGGGTGGTCTCCTGCCTGGAGAGCTGGGTCCCCCGTGTGTGTGTGTGTGTCCTTGGGCACTCCTCCTGGGTATCTTCAGCCGTCCGTCACCCAGGGATTGGGTACTCTGGGCTGTCTCCAGGGAAGCTGGAGGAGCAGGCCCAGACAGTCCCTGGCCTCGCCTCACCCTGCCTCTCCCTGCCATCCAGACCTGGCCTGCCCTTCCCCCCCACAGCTCCCCACACTGCCTGTTCCAATCGCACTGGCCTCCCAGCGCACCCTGACCCCCAGGGCCTTGCTGGGAGCACCTGCTCCCGGCTGTCCCCCCCAAGGCTCAGGCCTTAGCTCATCTCAAGGGGTTCCCCCTGTCTTTGCCACCTCGGCCCCCTGACCCCACCCAAAGGGTACACCCCTGCAGGCTGGCTTCTAGCCCCCGCCAGCATTCCTGCCCGAGCTTAGCGTGGCAGCTGTCAGTCTCACAGCTGCTGCGCATCAGCCCCGGGCTCCCAGCCAGCAGCCAGCTCTGCTGGGCAGCCCTGCCTTATCGTTGCTGCCCACCCCAGCGTATGGGAGCCGCGGGCTGCGTGGGGCCTCAGGCTCGGCCCATGTCACTCCCCCGCTCGCATGCCCTCCCCCTGCTGGGAGCTGTGCCATCTGGACGCGGTGGCACCTGCTGCTGCGTGGGATCTGGCTCGCGGGACGCTTGCCATCTTCTTGGAAGCTCCCTGTGGATGACATGGGGGGTTGGGAGCCCACGGGGACGGGGAGCGTGCAGACCCGGGAGGCCTTGGAAGCCGAGGAAGACCACCCCGACCTGAGGCTTGGCAGAGGGGTCACCGTTGCCCTTCTCTTGAGACCCCAGCCTCGTCGACCTTGACCCCCCCCAGGCCCAACGGCGTGCTGGCCTCTCTGCTGGCACCTTTGTCTCTGCCTGTCCTCCCCGCCCCCAGCAGGGTCAGTCAGGGTCACATGCTTCGTGGAGGAAAGCCCAAATCCCAGGCCCGCCCACCCACAGAGCTTCGCTCCTGGCATTGCTGGTAGGCAGCTGGCCGGTGCCAGCCTGCTTGACCAGCCAACAGGAGCCAGAGCCCGGCCTGCGCCTCTGGCACTACCGGGTGCAGCAGCCCAGCATCCGCCTGACCCCTGCCCCAGTTGGCACTGCCCACACGGAGCACAGCAGCGCCTTCCCGAGGCTAAAGGGCCCTCCCCTGCCCTGGGGCCTCACAGGTGCCCCCGCGCCTGAAGCTGGTCCTTGTCCAGGCGTAACACGACTGTGAAAAGTGTCCTAGAGCTTGCGAGAGAGAAGGACAGAGCGTGCCCGCTAGCCGGTGCCCTCCGCCCATGCCCCACAGTGGCCTGGCTGAAGCCAGGAGCTCCCCTGGGGTCGCCCACCGCAGACCCCGCTCAGGGTGTGCCGTGTGTAATCTCAGAGCCGGATCTTCACTGCTGAGCCAAGCCGCTTACCACATGGTACGCGTGCTGTTTGTTTCATGAACACACCTGTTGTGCCTGGGAAGGGGTGTGTGCGTGTGTGTGTGTGTGTGTGTGTGTGTGTGTGTGTCCAGCAGCAGGCAAGAGCTAGTGGGTTGCAAGTTGCCCAGCCCTGCGTGGGGCCCTTCCACCAGGAGAGACTCAGCTTGCCCGTCTGTGCAGTGGGTATGGCTCTCGGGTTCCCAGTCTCTGAAGGGCATAAAGGGGATCCGGACACGTTGCTGTGGGGGAGGGTGTAGGGCTGGGGGGGTCCCGTGGGAGCCCAAGAAGTCCGGTGACTCTCAGGGTGCAAAGCTGGATCAAGCAGAGTCCTGGGGCTGGAGGAAGGGGTGGGGGTGGCGCGGTTTGCACCGTCCTGAAATGTGAGCCTGGCTCAGCCCCGTCCTGCCCTCCCTCAGCTTAACTTGATCTGCACCAGCCCCAACTGGCCTGTACTGGGAACATCTCAACCCACTCTTGCCACCTACTGCCCTCGGTGAAGATAAAGGGAGGGCACCCGGCATGTCCGACAACGGGGTGGCGGTTGCTGGGGTGGGCACAGCACAGACCCGAGCAGCAAGGCCGGGGCACCGCGCCCCGCAGGCCGCCTGGGACGCAGGACAGCTGGGCTGTGAATTCCCACCCCGCTAAGGAAAGCAGCCTTTACCCAAGGCGGATGGGCCCCACTTTGCTTGAACCAGTGACCAGCCGGGGACACTGGGCACGCGCCCCGAGGCTGCCCCCCTGCCTTCGATCCACGCCTGGAGGGGCAGTGCCCCTTGCCCTGTCCTCAGGGAGAGGCCAGGACCTGCCCCCTGCTCTCGCTGTCACTTCACAGGAGGGCCAGAGGTTGGGAGGACGGGGATGGAACATTAGCCAAGAGTCCAGCCGTGGCGGGCCAAGTTCATGGTCAGCGTGCTAAAGGGCAGGTTGTGACCAGGCGGCCGAGGCCACGTCCGGAGCCTCCTGCACCAAAGCGGCCAAACTGCACCTTGCGCGCTCCAGCCCAACGGCTGCTGCGATTCGCCCTCCTGCCTGTCCGTCTCGGACGTCGCAGCCAATCATCGAGGCTCCCCGGGCTACTCCCTCCGTTCCTTTCGCTTCAGCGCCGCCCCCCAAGCACCGCCTTCCTTCCCGTCAGCGATTGGTCGGCAGAGCTGTCCGTTTCCCACCCGCGCTCCAATCCGATCCCGCCTCTAGGTCTCTGCCTCCCGGGACCTCGCAAGGTCCGCCCCTATGCCGGGGGCTCCTGGTCAAATCCCGCCTCTCCTTCTCAGCAGTTGGCTGGCGAGGCTGCCCGTCGACGGCGTGTTGGCCAATCCCGAGCGTCTCCGCCAGAGAGCGGCCAATGGGCTGGCGGCGTGGGCCGTCCCTTGGCGCGCGCGCGCCGGGCTGCGCGAGGCGGGGCTGTGGTGGCCGGAGGCGGCGGCGCGCCGGGCAGGTGAGGGGAACGCGGGGGGCGACCGGCGCGGGGCTCGGGGGATGGCGGCGGCCGGGCGGGCGTGACAGCCGCGTCCCGGGGAGCAGAGGCAGGCCGGAGGACCCCGGCACCCTACAGACACCCTCCACGCCTGTACCCTACACCCTGACACCCCGACGCCCTGCAGACACCCCGCGCCCCTACACCCACAGACACCCACACCCCTACACCCTACAGACACCCACGCCCCTGTACCCTACAGACACCCACACCCCTACACCCTACAGACACCCACACCCCTGTACCCTACAGACACCCACACCCCTGTACCCTACAGACACCCACACCCCTGTACCCTACAGACACCCACACCCCTACACCCTACAGACACCCACGCCCCTATGTCCTATACCCTGCAGACACCCCGCGCCCCTACACCCACAGACACCCACACCCCACAGACACCACACCCCTACACCCTACAGACACCCACGCCCCTGTACCCTACAGACACCCACGCCCCTATGTCCTATACCCTGCAGACACCCCGCGCCCCTACACCCTACAGACACCCACACCCCACAGACACCACACCCCTATACCCCACAGACACCCACACCCCTATACCCCACAGACACCCAGGCCCCTATGTCCTATACCCTGCAGACACCCCACGCCCTGACCCCCTACACCCCACACCCCTATACCCTACATACCCCTGACACCCGACACCCTACAGACACCCACACCCCACTCCCTGTCCGCTCCAAGGACCGGGATCCCCCTCCCCCCAATGCACCTACTTCACGTCCCTTCATGTTGACACCCCCTCCCCAGTACCCCAGGGCCGGGGCTCCCCGTAACCTCTGGCGCCCCTACACTGTGTATGGGGAGGTCTGACATTGCTTGAGCCTCATCTCTTTTAACACCTGACTCGGGCACCCCCTCCCCGCCCCCATTCCCACCCCGGGAACCCCTGACCCCTGACCCCTCACCCACCTGGACCTGCTCCCATCCCCGCCACCCTGACCCGTGCCTGCCCCCTTGGAAACAACCCGGAGCAAGCCCTCCAGTCCGTCCCCTTCCCACACCCCGCTGTGCCTTCACCCGCCCTCCCCCCAGAAGCCCCCATCCTGCCTTCTCGCTCCCCTCCGCACCCTTGCGCACTGGGCTGGCTTACACGTGCGCCTGTTTGGGCACCCTCCCCCTGCACTGATCCCTCATCCTCCCCTCCTGGAAAAACCCCACACACTCGAGTTTATCTGGTAATGTGTGTGATCAGTGCTTGGCGATCGATCAAGTGATTTCCGGAGTGTTAAGGAGCCAGGTGTCGCTGCATTGTTGTTGTTGAACAGGCCACACAGCCCACAGCCGGCTGCAGCCACGTGCCCCGAGCCCCCGACCCTCCACCGGAGGGGAACTCTGCCCCCCAACCCCAGCTCAAGCCTGCAGCCTTCCTGGCTTAACTGGAAGGGGCGGCAGGGTGGGGCGCTGCAGGAGCTGGGGGTGGGGACCGTGGGCGGTGCAACATCTGGGCACCGCTGGGCGCTGGCTGGACCCTGGCCTTTGCAGAGCTGTGTGCCCTATGCCTTGGAAGGCACGTAATAAAGAAACCGTCTCTTGCGCGTGAGAGGGGTTCAGGTTGCAGCCGCTGGCAGCAGGCTGCCTGGCCAGAAGGACGGTTCTGGAATTTTGCAAGTTTCTCCTTCAACGCGTGGCGTAGCAGGGGGCCGGAGGGTTTGGTCGTTGGAAAGGTGATCCCGGTACTTGGCGCACTGAGTGACCATAACACAGGTGGACTGTTGACGGGTGGTCAATAGCCCGTTTAATAACGGCATCCGACTCCACAGAGGGGCTTATCGGATAAGGGAGGAGGTATTGAGCTTATCTACAGAACCCAGCAATTGTTTCCACACCCCTGTTTGGAACGCCTGTTTTGTATCTGCCACCAAGTGTTTTCATTCAAATGCTATCCATTCAGTTGTTATACAAATAATATCCAACCGGTTACACAGGGTTATACAGAAGGTATGTGCGGTTGTAATCCTGTACTTCCTAGAATCACAGTGTCCTGCAGAAACTGAGTGAGGTGTTGCTTGGTGCAAACTTGGCATACTGCCTCTCCCTCCAAAAAAAAAAAAAAAAATAGTGCTAGAACGTTCTGAAGGGGTCCTGTCGTGGTGTGAATGGAAGCCAGTGGTGGTTTCTGTTCAACTTGGAAACTGTGTGTGTTGCCACTTCATGTATGCTGTGCATGTATGTCCTATATGTGTGTACGCGGGACTCCACAAGGACTTGGAAATGCAATTCCAAGATAAATTAATTTTCATGCAGTTTTTTGGATTAGAGTCTTTAAAAAAAAAAAACTCCCCCCCAAAAAAATGTGTATTAAAAAAAAACCCTATGCCTGGGTTTGAAACTTTTTTTTAAAGATTTATTTATTTATTGGAAAGTCAGATGTACAGAGAGGAGGAGAGACAGATCCGATGAGTCACTCCCCAAGTGAGCGCAACGGCCACTGCTGTGCCGATCCGGAGCCAGGAGCCAGGAACTGCTTCCGGGTCTCCCACGCGGGTGCAGGGTCCCAAGGCTTTGGGCCGTCCTCCACTGCTTTCCCGGTCCACAGGCAGGGGCTGGGTGGGAAGTGGGGCAGCTGGGATTAGAACTGGCGCTCATATGAAATCCTGGCACATTCAAGGCCAGGACTTTAGCTGCTAGGCCTGGTGCTGGGCCCATAAATAGCTTTTTATCTATTTTCCAATAACTTCCATTAATTTTAAGAGTGATTTATTTGAAAGGCAGAGAAAGATTCATCTTCTGCCCATTGGCTCACTCCCCAGTTGGCCACCATGGCCGCAACTGGGCCAGGCTGAAACCAGGAGCCAGGAGTTCCGTCGGGGTCTCCCGCGTGGGTGGTAGGGCCACATTCCACTGGTTTCCCAAGTGTAGTATCTGAGAGCAGAGTCAGAAGTGGGGCGACTCAGTTCTGGCCAGTGTGACTGTTACGGGGTTCAGCCAGTGACAGCCAGCACCCATTGACAGCCGGCAAATGAAGTGTGCTGGGTGCCCCAGCCGCTGTCCCGAAGGTGGGCCCAATGTCAGTTCCATCCTCAGCCCTCCCCCCGCCCACCTGTGACTCACCTGTCGTCTGAGAGGGGCGGTATTACATTCCTGTGGAAGCGCTCCCCTCACAAGCCCCTTTGAAAGGTCCGTGAAGCTGGGGCTCTTGCATTTGTGTGGCACCTCCACTCCTGGCTGACCCGGGACGGGTAACCCCTGAGCACGGTCCCTGTGTACCGCTTAGCTGGGACGGTGGATATAGCAGTTGCTTCTGGTCCGTGTGCTGTCAGCAGTTCCGGGAGAGGAGAGGCCTGGCGGTGATGGATGCAGGCAGGGAAGCCAGGGAGAGGTGACTGCGGCTTTGGAAGTGTGTCCAGGTTATTCATTGCATGTTTGTTAAGATAACTTACATTGTTGGGGAGACTGGCACACAGGCCTTCAGCTAACAGATGGACTTGAGGGGAATGACCATTTGTTCCTCCTGGGTTTGGGTTTGGCTGGGTCAGGATTGCCGGATTGTGATTGGCTGGGTCAGGATTGCCGGATTGTGATTGGCGGGGTCACGATAGGCTGGATTATGATTGGCTGGGTCAGGATTGCCGGATTGTGATTGGCTGGGTCAGGATTGCCGGATTGTGATTGGCTGGGTCAGGATTGCCGGATTGTGATTGGCTGGGTCAGGATTGCCGGATTGTGATTGGCTGGGTCAGGATTGCCGGATTGTGATTGGCTGGGTCAGGATTGCCGGATTGTGATTGGCTGGGTCACGATTGGCTGGATTGCTGTGTGCCGTGATTTGCTATTTCTAGCGTGCTGTCTTATCACCAGGCTTGGTTAATAAAGACTCCTGAGACATGCCTGGTCACACCCCGTAATAGTGACCACTTGGGAAGGGAACCAGCAGATAGAAGATCTTTCTCTGTGACTCTGTAAACATACCTCTCCAATAAAAAGAGATTTTTCAAAAATAATTTGGAGGTTATTATGGGGGGTATGCTTAACTGATCCCTTATATTTTACCACTTTTAATTTTTTAAAAAGATTTATTTATTTAATTTCTAAGAGTCACAGAGAGAGAAAGAGATAGCTCCAATAGTTGCAGCTGAGCCGATCCCAAGCCAGGAGCCAGGAGCCTGTCCCGGGTCTCCCACGCGGGTGCAGGGTCCCAAGGCTTTGGGCCGTCCTCCACTGCTTTCCCAGGCCACAGGCAGGGAGCTGGATGGGAAGTGGGGCCACCGGGACAAGACCCTGTACCCATATGGGATGATGGCACCACAGGTCCATGCCAGGGTGCCCACCCCACGCCCTTTCAAGCCACTGGAGAATCTGCCAGTTTCTCACCGGTGGCTGTGTCAGCCGGCCATGGCAGCAGGCAGATGTGGTGGTCAGCCCAGAAGAGAGCAGGTGCAGGCTCTAGCCGCTGCCTAGACAGCGCCAGCACTGCTTGTCCTGAAGGTCCTGGGGCAACGCCAGGGGTCATGGCTTTCCTACTATTCATCAAACTGGAAGTCCTGTTTCCTGCCCGCAGGGCCAGCTGAGGTGTTGCAAGTGTCAGGCTGATGCCATCAGATAAGGGGAAAGAAACCTTGTGTCTGTCCCCAGGATGGCTGCCCAGGAGCCGGCCCAGGCTCTTCTACATTTGGAAACAATGTAGATTCTTTCTCTCCAAAGCTTGGAGGTGAATTCCCTGGGGCTTCGAATTTAAATATTTATTTGAAAGGGAGAGTGGGGCATAGAGACCTCAGCTGCCACAGCTAGGTCGGGCCAGGCTGAAGTCAGGGGGAGCCAGGAACTCCTGGCTCTCCCCCATGGGGGCAGGGGTCCAAGTGCCTGGAGCTTTCCAAGTTGCACCTGCAGGAAGCTGGATACTCTCCTTGGCTGTTTGATGGGGGCGCCGTGTGGCAGGGAGCAGTTTAACCGGCAGTGCTACCATGCTGGCCCCGCAACCAGCAGTGGTGGTGTGGGGGGAAGAACCAGTGTACAACTCTCAACGCTTAAGGGAGCATCCGGGCTTGAGTCCCCGCAGCTCTACCTGCGATGCAGTTTCCAAACAGCAGCCTTGGAAATGATCCTGGGGGCCCTGGCACCCACGTGGGAGATCCGGGATGAATGCCCTGGCTTCAGTCCAGCCCAGCATTACAGCCCTATGCTGGGTGAGCCAGGGGGCACAAGATCTCTCTCTGCGCTGGGCCCCAAGGCTGTGGGCCGTCCTCCACTGCTTTCCCAGGCCACAGGCAGGGAGCCGGGTGGGAAGCAAGTCTGCCGGATTAGAATCCGTGTCCATATGGGATCTGGCGGGTTCAAGGCGAGGACTTTAGCTGCTATGCTATCGCGCCAGGCCCTGCCCTGTCTCTTACAGTAGAAGGAAGCCTTAGTGTTCTTGCTGCACTGAGCCAACGGGAGGCTTCCATTAAACTCACCAGGAAAAGGGAGTCTGTTCTGGCTCATGGTCCCATGGGTCCGAGGTCAACGGGCGGCCATCTGGTAAAGCTGGGGCACTTCGAGTTGGCTTTAATGGTCTCTAAGGAGTCTGCCGGCCGTGGGGACAAGCTGTCGGCCGAGCCCGACATGGCACATCTTGGGAACGGCCTCCCTGAGTCAGAAGACTGGGTGGGGAGGACCCTCGAATGCCCATGGCGTGTTGAAAGATGCTGACCCACTAGAATGATCTGGAACTTTCCAGAACATGGCGTGTCTCGTTCCCCACAGCCCCCTCTCCCGCCGAAAGGCCACATCGTCCTTTGCAGTGAGGGCAGAAGGCGTGTCCTCAGGGAGGGATGGGAACCACTCAAGGTTAAGGGACGTAGCCGGGCAGCGCGGTTGTGCCCTGCACGGCATCTGCTTGCCGAGACTGGAGGACCCATTTCCGCCTCTCACTGCAGATCCACTCAGCCAATAGCTGATAACCCTGATGACTGCTCCCTAGCTGTCCGCTCGCTCCCCGCGTCCCGCAGGCCGTCAGGGAGCTCCGAGCCCACCGAGCCCTGGTTGTGGGATGGCCAGACCCATCTCCACAGCAGCTGACCCCACACACAGCATGAGCAGACTCCACTCCCCCACGCCTTGGCCCAGCACGGCTTCTCGGGATTTGTATTGGAAAGACCGGTGGACGTGGGACACCGCACCTGCCCCGCCCCGCCTCACCGTCATCTCACATCTCCCCAGGTCCGGGTTCCCCACCCTCCCGAGCAGGCCTGGGATGGGTAATGGTGTGAAGGAGAGCTCGGTGGGGCTGCGAGACAATGCCCAGGCTGTCCTGCCCTCGCCCGTGTCCTCCAAGGCAAGTACCCTGCTCTGTGTCACGCCTGCACGTCTCCAAGCCAGGCCTCGCCCAAAATGCAGGTGGGCAGGGGGACCTTAACACTCCCTGGTGCCTTCCTAGTTCCCCAAGTCCCTCGCCTGACGGACAGGGGCCGAGGTGCCCCGTGCCAGCTCCCCGCAGGAACCCCAGCATCCACCAGTCGCCCCACCTTCTCCCAGCTGAACCTGAGCAGCAGTGGGGCACAGTGCCACCGTCCACGCCCCCGGGCCCTCACCGGGCTCCTCTCAAAGTCCACTGGGGGAAAGGCCACGGCGGCGGTGGCGACTGTCGCCCTCCGGGCCTCTTGACCTTTCTCCCAAATTGCAGGTGGCACGGGGCGTGGCTTGGGGCAGGGCCAAGGGAAGCCAGCCTTTGGGCTGTGGGGCGCTGCTGGCCGCCCCGTTACCTCTGACCGCCACCACCCCTGCCCTGGTGCGCGCAGGCAAGGCTGTCAGCCCGCACCTGCTGGACCCTCCCCGCACCCCCTCAGGGCCACCGTACTTGTCATAAGCTTGGATGCTGCGCGGAAGTGGGGGGCACCTCCAGAGACCTGAGCCCCTGCAGACCCCCACCCCTCCCTGATGGCCTTGACCCTGTGGTTCTGTTCCAGACTGACCACAGGGAAGTGCTCAACTCCCTGCTGTCCGGGGCCCTGGCGGGCGCGCTCGCCAAGACAGCGGTAGCCCCCTTGGACCGTACGAAGATCATCTTCCAAGGTAAACGTGCCCCCCCCCGGTCTGTGCAGACCGACGCAGGAGTGCCAGGCCCCGCCTCCAGGCTACTGCAAAGCTTTTATTGGAAAGTCAAATCTACAGAGAGGAGAGACACAGAGAAAGATCTTCCATCCACTGCCTCACTCCCCAAGTGGCCACAATGGCCGGAGCTGAGCTGATCCGAAGCCAGGAGCCAGGAGCTTCTTCCGGGTCTCCCATGTGGATGCAGGGTCCTAAGGATGGTAGCCACTAGGCTACTGCGCTGGGCTCCCAGATGAATCTTTAAAAGAGAACAGCTGCAGGCCCCTCTGGGGGTGCAAGGGTGGGGCCTGCAGCTCCTGGCGTCTCCTGGCCATGGCCTTGTGCCCCACCTGTCTGTGGATAGGAAACCCTGAATCCACTGCAGCTTGCCCTTGACCCTGCAGGCAGACAGGGTCTTGGTGGAGGCAAGAATGTAGCCATAATCGGGGTGCCGGGAGACACCCCACCCTGACCCCACAACAGAAGCCTTGTTGGTCAAGCCTTGATGGGGACCGAGGCCCGTCCGAGCCCGGCCCAGCCACAGGCCTGTCCGTGCCTCGGTGCCCTCACCCAGGCCACAGGGCTGCAGGGGGCATGAGAATCCCAGGGGGCTGAGACGGGCAAGGTCAGGCCCTTGGGGTAAAGCTGTGCCCCGCAGGGAAGGCCCCATGTCCAGATGAGGCATGGGGGGGTGGGGTGCTCTGTGAGACCCCTCAAGGCCTGTGGGGATGGGGTACCCTGGAGGGCAGCACCAGGGGGGTCCTGAGGGGCTACTCAGCAGACCGCAGCCTCGGGTGACCGCTGGGGGCTCCTTTGTGGGGACACATGGCAGCTGGAGGGGGACAGGGCAGGCACGCAGTCCCCCGGTGCTCCACTCTGCCTCTGAAAGTCTCATCTCGCCTTTGCAGTGTCTTCGAAAAGGTTTTCTGCCAAGGTAAGCCAGGGCCACCTGACCCCCAGGACTTGGGGAGGGCAGGGGCAGAGTCCACACGGGGACACCCCATTGGCTTTGGGGTGGTGGGGGTGAGGGCAGGCGGTCATTTCCAGGTGGGCTTCTTGTTGAGTAAAGCCCCTGGGGGAGACGAAAAATGACAACTGGAGAGGGGCACTCTTCAGTCCAGGGTCAGTGGCCACACACCCAGACCTGGGCCCCATGAAGCTGGGCTCCCCGTGTTCCTGGGCCCCCATGAAGCTGGGCTCCCCGTGTTCCTGGGCCCCCACAGACCTGGGCCCCATGAAGCTGGGCTCCCTGCGCTGGCCCCAGTCAGAACTTAGGACTTCCTCGACAGAATGAGGCAGGATACACGCTAGAGGGCATGGGGACCCGACCTCAGCCCTTCCCAGGGCGCCTGGCATCCTGTCCTGGGGTGCCCGGCCTCATCCTGTCCTGGGGTGCCCGGCCTCATCCTGTCCTGGGGTGCCCGGCCTCATCCTGTCCTGGGGTGCCCGGCCTCATCCTGTCCTGGGGTGCCCGGCCTCATCCTGTCCCGGGGTGCCCGGCCTCATCCTGTCCTGGGGTGCCCGGCCTCAGCCCGTCCCGGGGTGCCTGGCCTCATCCTGTCCTGGGGTGCCCGGCCTCATCCTGTCCTGGGGTGCCCGGCCTCATCCCGTCCCGGGGTGCCCGGCCTCATCCTGTCCTGGGGTGCCCGGCCTCATCCTGTCCTGGGGTGCCCGGCCTCATCCTGTCCTGGGGTGCCTGGCATCCTGTCCTGGGGTGCCCGGCCTCATCCTGTCCTGGGGTGCCCGGCCTCATCCTGTCCCGGGGTGCCTGGCCTCATCCTGTCCTGGGGTGCCTGGCATCCTGTCCTGGGGTGCCTGGCATCCTGTCCTGGGGTGCCCGGCCTCATCCTGTCCTGGGGTGCCTGGCCTCATCCTGTCCTGGGGTGCCTGGCATCCTGTCCTGGGGTGCCCGGCCTCAGCCCGTCCCGGGGTGCCCGGCCTCATCCCGTCCCGGGGTGCCCGGCCTCAGCCCGTCCCGGGGTGCCTGGCCTCATCCTGTCCTGGGGTGCCCGGCCTCAGCCCGTCCCGGGGTGCCCTGCTGGGGCCCCAGGCAGGTGCACTGACCCGACCTCCCTTCCCTCAGGAGGCCCTGCGGCTCCTCTACTTCACCTACCTCAACGAGGGCTTCCTGAGCCTGTGGCGCGGTAACTCGGCCACCATGGTGCGCGTGGTGCCCTACGCCGCCATCCAGTTCAGCGCGCACGAGGAGTACAAGCGGGTCCTGGGCCGCTACTACGGCTTCCGGGGAGAGTGAGGCCCCGCCCCGCCCCGCTAGCCCCGCCCCGGCGGAGACACACCCACCCTGGCCCCGCCCCTTGGACAGGGACACGCCCATTCCGACCCCACCCCCGCGATGGGGACACACCCACCCTGGCTCCGCCCCCTCGCACAGGGACACGCCCACTCCCGGCTCCGCCCCGTGACGGGGACACGCCCACCCTGTCCCCGCCCCTCAGGACAGGGACACGCCCACTCCCGGCCCCACCCTCTGGGCGGGGACACGCCCACTCCCGCCCCCTGTGATGGGGACACGCCCACTCCTGTCCCTCGCCCCGCCCCTGGCCCCGCCCCCTGTGACGGGGACACGCCCACTCCTGTCCCTCGCCCCGCCCCTGGCCCCGCCCCCTGCAGCCCCTCAGCTTGCTCCCCCTCCCGCAGGGCCCTGCCGCCTTGGCCTCGCCTGCTGGCCGGCGCCCTGGCTGGAACCACAGCCGCGTCCCTCACCTACCCCCTGGACCTGGTCAGAGCCCGGATGGCCGTAACCCCCAAGGAAATGTGAGTCCTGAGCCGCCCTGGGGGCCGTGGGTCCCCCACCCGGGGCCTGGGGTCGGAGCATCTCTGCCCAGCTGTCCTTCATCCCACCCTGGCCACAGAGGGAGTGCCCACGGGTGCAGCTGGGCACCGGGTAGTGAGGGTCCAGGCCCACAGGGTGCAGCTGGGCATCGGGCAGTGGGTGGCCAGGCCCACAGGGTGCAGCTGGGCATCGGGCAGTGGGTGGCCAGGCCCACGGGTGCAGCTGGGCATCGGGCAGTGGGCGGCCAGGCCCGCGGGGTGCAGCTGGGCATTGTGTAGTGGGGGGCCAGGCCCGCGGGGTGCAGCTGGGCATCGGGCAGTGGGGGGCCAGGCCCGCGGGTGCAGCTGGGCATTGTGTAGTGAGGGGCCAGGCCCACGGGGTGCAGCTGGGCATCAGGCAGTGGTGGCCAGGCCCGCGGGTGCAGCTGGGCATCAGGCAGTGAGGGGCCAGGCCCACGGGGTGCAGCTGGGCATCGGGCAGTGGGGGGCCAGGCCCACGGGTGCAGCTGGGCACCGGGCAGTGAGGGGCCAGGCCCGCGGGGAGCAGGCCCAGTGCACGGGTAAGCTGGGCCCGGGGCAGGGTCCTGGGGTCCCCGGCGTTAGGCACATCCGCCAGGGAGGACCCAGGAGCTGTGGACTGACACCATGGCTGGCCGGGCCGCAGGTACAGCAACATCTTCCACGTCTTCATCCGCATCTCGCGTGAGGAGGGCCTCAAGACGCTGTACCACGGCTTCACACCCACGGTGCTCGGCGTCATCCCGTATGCCGGGCTCAGCTTCTTCACCTACGAGACGCTCAAGACCCTGCACCGAGGTGAGGGGCAGCGGAGACCGGAGGGGCCAGGGGACGCAGGGTCCAGAGAGGCCAGGGGAGCCCGGAGGGGCCAGGGGACGCAGGGTCCAGGGAGGCCAGGGGAGGCTGGAGGGGCCAGGGGATGCAGGGTCCAGGGAGGCCGGAGGGGCCAGGGGACGCAGGGTCCAGAGAGGCCAGGGGAGGCCGATGGGGCCAGGGGACGCAGGGTCCAGGCAAAGGGACAGGGCTATGGGCACAAAACACCCAGGTCCAACCTGGCAGAGAGGAGGCACCTGGGGGATGTGGGGGAGCCGAGAAAAGGGAAGGACGTGGTGCCACAGTGCTGCAGCTGCCCAGGGTGCAGGGTGGGGGCTCAGCCGCAGCTGCCCAGGGTGCAGGGTGGGGGCTCAGCCGGACCTGCCCAGGGTGCAGGGTGGGGGCTCAGCCGGACCTGCCCAGGGTGCAGGGTGGGTGGGGGCTCAGCCAGACCTGCCCAGGGTGCAGGGTGGGGGCTCAGCCGCAGCTGCCCAGGGTGCAGGGTGGGTGGGGGCTCAGCCGGACCTGCCCAGGGTGCAGGGTGGGTGGGGGCTCAGCCGGACCTGCCCAGGGTGCAGGGTGGGTGGGGGCTCAGCCGCAGCTGTCCAGGGTGCAGGGTGGGGGCTCAGCCGCAGCTGCCCAGGGTGCAGGGTGGGGGCTCAGCCGGACCTGCCCAGGGTGCAGGGTGGGTGGGGGCTCAGCCGGACCTGCCCAGGGTGCAGGGTGGGTGGGGGCTCAGCCGGACCTGCCCAGGGTGCAGGGTGGGTGGGGGCTCAGCCGCAGCTGTCCAGGGTGCAGGGTGGGGGCTCAGCCGCAGCTGCCCAGGGTGCAGGGTGGGTGGGGGCTCAGCCGGACCTGCCCAGGGTGCAGGGTGGGTGGGGGCTCAGCCGGACCTGCCCAGGGTGCAGGGTGGGTGGGGGCTCAGCCGGACCTGCCCAGGGTGCAGGGTGGGTGGGGGCTCAGCCGCAGCTGCCCAGGGTGCAGGGTGGGGGCTGAGCCGGACCTGCCCAGGGTGCAGGGTGGGGGCTCAGCCGCAGCTGCCCAGGGTGCAGGGTGGGGGCTGAGCCGGACCTGCCCAGGGTGCAGGGTGGGTGGGGGCTCAGCCGGACCTGCCCAGGGTGCAGGGTGGGGGCTCAGCCGCAGCTGCCCAGGGTGCAGGGTGGGTGGGGGCTCAGCCGCAGCTGCCCAGGGTGCAGGGTGGGTGGGGGCTCAGCCGCAGCTGCCCAGGGTGCAGGGTGGGGGCTCAGCCGCAGCTGCCCAGGGTGCAGGGTGGGTGGGGGCTCAGCCGCAGCTGCCCAGGGTGCAGGGTGGGTGGGGGCTCAGCCGCAGCTGCCCAGGGTGCAGGGTGGGTGGGGGCTCAGCCGCACTTGCTGCCCGATGGCTTGGGGACATGAGGGGCTGGAGGAATTAAAGCCCCCACGGCGTGCCTCGCACCCCGCTGCCTGCCCGCGTGCCTCCCGCTAGCCCAGGTGGGGGTTCGCACCGTCCCCAAGCTGGCCATGCAGCTGCGCGCCCCGGGGGCGTCCCTGGCGCCGCCCCTTGCCCTCACCGCCCCCGCCCCGTCCCGCAGAGTACAGCGGCCGGCCGCAGCCCTACCCGGTCGAGCGTATGATCTTCGGGGCGTGCGCGGGCCTCATCGGGCAGTCCGCGTCCTACCCGCTGGACGTGGTGCGGCGGCGCATGCAGACGGCGGGCGTCACGGGCCACCCGCGCGCCTCCATCGTGGGCACGCTGCGCAGCATTGTGCGGGAGGAGGGCGCGGTGCGCGGCCTGTACAAGGGCCTGAGCATGAACTGGCTCAAGGGCCCCATCGCCGTGGGCATCAGCTTCACCACCTTCGACCTCACGCAGATCCTGCTGAGGCGCCTGCAGAGCTAGGGGGTCGGGGACCCTCGGTGGAACGCAGGGCCCGCCCGGCCCGGATCGTGCAATGTGGGTGGATGGAGAGTGGGGCACGGCCTGCAAGGTCAGCCCTGCCCCCGGCTCCAGGACCCAGAACGCTTCTGCTGCTAAGTGCCCCTGGTCCAGCCGGCTCAGAGCCGCCTCTTCCTTCCCTCCTCCTGCCTGGCCTCCAGGTGGCCGGGCACCGCTCCCTGCAGCAGCCGGACTCTGCCCACCACGGCAGGAGCCTCGGGCTCAGCTTCAGCTCCGAATGCAGCCCCCAGCAGCGGGCCCAGGGGACAGCACCCTGGCCCATCCACACGCCCTGAGGTCCCCAGGCTTGGCAGGGTCCTGGGCTGAAGGCCTCCATGCAGGATGGTGGGGGGGCTCCCCAAGGCTGCGGAGACTAACCCTGCCCATGATGCACCCCCTGCCTGGGGTTCCTGGAGGTAGCTGGGTGGCGTTTCCCAACCTGGCTGACCCCGTGGTCTGCTCCTGGCCCTGGCCACCTTGCAGACCTGCCCAGGGACCCCCCCATCCCCACCTATCTCAGCTGCACTTCTTGCCTCACAGCCCAGGGGTGTGGGTGGAGACCCCTCCCAGGGCCCCCCACTACCTGCAGGGGCTCTGGTGAGCACCCCAAGCAAGTGTGGGGGTCTGCCAAGGCCCCTAGGGCCTGCTGACCGCCCAGCCCTGCTGGCTCCCAGCTCTGCTGACTGCCCTGCCCTGCTGGCTCCCAGCCTGGTCCTGAGTTCTATTTTGATGCCATAAAGACACTTTGTTATATATAATGTTTATATATTTTAAAGATTTGTGCCAAGAGAGTATATTTAATAAAAACCCGAATCACTTCTGCCACTCGCACCCCTGCCTCTGAACTTCCAGCCGCCCTGCACAGCACCCAAGGGGCCGCCATCGGCTGCCACGTGGTCCCAGGGGCACGGCGGAGCGACGGACCCCAGGTGCTCCCATCCCCAGCAGCCAGGACCTCCAGCCAGGCCTCTCCCACAGGGGGGACACGGGCGCCAGCACGAGGGCCCGTGGGAAGTGGAGCAGCCGGGACTCAAAGCAGCCATGAGTAGCTTGGCCTGCCATGCCAGTCCTGGCCCTCTCCCTCTGCCTCCCCTCCCTCCTGCCCAAACATGTGCCACATGAACTTGCTAGGGCTCAGCACCCCATTGCTCCCCAAATCTCTCCAGTCCAAGCTGTCCCCACACGCTGCAGGGCCCGAGGTTGAGTCCGACAGACCTCCATGCAGCCCCCAGGATCCGGGGCGGAGTGGCTCAGGCACTGACCTGCGGGGGACCCTGAGGCACGCACACAAGGGCAGGTCCAGGAGCACTGCAGGCGGCTAGGAGCCGGCCAGGTGCTGGTGGAAGTAGAGGCCGAACAGGCTGGCCAGCAGCTGGCAGGCAGCCGTCCACCAGATGAGGTAGGCCAGGACCCCGCGCAGGAAGAGCGGCGTGAGCAGGCCACCCAGGACCCCCGCGATGCGGGCCGCCGTCTCCTGAGCCGAGTCCTCCCCGGGGCTGACCGGGTCAGTGAGGGAAGGCGTGGCGGGGGAGAGTGGGGGAGCCGGGCCCAGGCCCCAGGAGTAGCCACCTGCAGAAGGTGCGAATGGAGCCTCAGGGTGGGGCCTGCGGGGCCCGGTTCTGTAACCACCTGCCTGGACACCCCCAGAATCCAGGGTCCACCTCCCCGTCCCCTAATCCTGCTCCAGTCGGCCTCCAGCAGAGGCTGGGCCCCTGCCACCTGCCCAGCCTTCAGTTCCACCCCTCAAGTGCTGACCACGCCCCCACTACGCTCAGACCCCGCCCCTCGTGACTGCACCCGAGGCCCCGCCCCCTAGAAGAGGCTCCACCCACCCAGGCCCCGCCCCCTCACCCAGCGACTTGAGCAGCAGTGTGAAGTTGAGCGTGAGGATGAGCGGGGTCAGGTACTGCAGGCTGACCACGGTCACATAGCAGTACACGCGGACCACCTGGGGGAGGGGGCGGGCGTTGGGGGCACCCCTCTCCCAGGGTCCCACCACCTGGGGGAGGGGGCGGGCGTTGGGGGCACCCCTCTCCCGGGGTCCCACCACCTGGGGGCAGGGAGCAGGGCGTTGGGGGCACCCCTCTCCCAGGATCCCACCACCTGGGGACAGGGAGCAGGGTGTTGGGGGCACCCCTCTCCCGGGGTCCCACCACCTGGGGGCAGGGGGCGGGCGTTGGGGGCACCCCTCTACCAGGGGGCACCCCTCTCCCTGGGTCCCACCACCTGGGGGCAGGGAGCAGGTCATTGGGGGCACCCCTCTCCCGGGGTCCCACCACCTGGGGGCAGGGAGCAGGTCATTGGGGGCACCCCTCTCCCGGGGTCCCACCACCTGGGGGCAGGGAGCAGGGCGTTGGGGGCACCCCTCTCCCTGGGTCCCACCACCTGGGGGAGTGGACGGGCGTTGGGGGCACCCCTCTCCCTGGGCTGGGTCCCACCACCTGCGGGCAGGGGGCGGGCGTTGGGGGCACCCCTCTCCCGGGGTCCCACCACCTGGGGGCAGGGGGCGGGCGTTGGCGGCACCCCTCTCCCAGAATCCCACCACCTGTGGGCAGGGAGTGGGCGTTGGGGGCACCCCTCTCCCAGGGTTCCACCACCTGGGGGAAGGAGCGGGGCATTGGGGGGCACCCCTCTCCCGGGGTCCCACCACCTGGGGGCAGGGAGCGGGCGTTGGGGGCACCCCTCTCCCAGGGGGCACCCCTCTCCCTGTGTCCCACCACCTGGGGGCAGGGAGCGGGGCGCTGGGGGGCACCCCAATCCCCCTTACCCGCTGCTGGATCTCCCGGGCCTCGATGCGGCCCGCTTCCTTGCGCAGTTGCTCCACACGGGCCTTGGCCAGGCACAGGTAGGCCTGCAGGTGGGGCCTCGTGACGGCCAGACGCAGCAGGCACAGCGCCACCAGCACCCACAGGCGCACCGAGTCGAAGGCCGCGTCCGACAGCCTGGGGGGCAGGGCTGGAGGTTGGTGGGGTCTCCGAGGGGCAGCATGGCGGGCTGGGGTCCCCTCACTGCTCGCCCTCCCGGCCAGCCCCACACGCACAGGGAGACCGAGGTCCCGCCCAGAGGCGCCTGCTGCAGGAAGTCCCGTGCCACGGGCTTGGTCCAGAGCCACAGAACGAACAGGGGAGACACGAAGCTGGTGTGCAGCAGGAACCTGGGCGGCCGAGGGCAGGGGCACAGTGAGGCTGGGGGCTCAGTGAGGCCGGGGCACCCCGCCAGCCCTCCACGCCCCCACCGGGTAGCACCCTCGTAACTGCAGCAGGGGCCGGTCCTCCGACAGGGTCAGCGCGTCCCGGTGTGTCTGGGCCAGCCGCAGGCCCGGGAAGGTGAGGAACGCGCCCAGCACTGAGCCCGCCGCTGCCAGCCCCACTCGGACGCTCAGCTTGGCCACGGGGATCCTGGGGAAGGCAGGGCAGGGGAGGCCGCGGTCGGAGAGGCCCTGCAGCCTGGCCCGCAGCCTGGCCAGGGAGACCCCCGTCCCAGCTCCCCCGGCCAGGGAGACCCCCATCCCAGCTCCCCCGGCCAGGGGGACCCCCGTCCCAGCTCCCCGACCCTGACTCACGCCCAGTCCCAGCCTTGGTCTTTCAGAAGCGGCTCCAGACGCTGGGTCACACTGGCCAGGCCTGGGGAAAACGGGGGGACATGGAGGGGTTGGAGTGGACTGCACGGTGCCCGAGTCACCCTGACACACACCCTGCTTTCCAGCTGGGACGCACTCATGGGGGCCGGGTCCTATGCCAGGCCGCAGGGCGAGTGCAGAGAGACAAAAGATCTTCCATCCACTGGTTCACTCCCCAAGTGGCCACACGGAGACACGCCCACCCAGAGACCACACCCAGCGGTGGCCACACCCACCACAAGGAGACACGCCCACAGCGCCCCACCCACCCAGCAGGCCACACCCACCCAGCAGGCCACACCCACCACAAGGAGGCACACCCACCGGTGGCCCCACCCACCACACGGAGACATGCCCACCAGGGCCCCACCCACCCGCAGGCCACACCCACCACAAGGAGGCACACCCACCGGTGGCCCCACCCACCACACGGAGACATGCCCACCAGGGCCCCACCCACCCGCAGGCCCCACCCAGCGGCGGCCACACCCACCACGACCCCGCCCACCCGCAGGCCACACCCACCCGGCTCCAGGCCCAGCTCCAGCGTCTCCTCCCGCACCACCTGCACCAGCATGGCCAGGATCAGGAAGAGGAAGGCGAAGGCGAGGCAGACGGAGCGCTCGCCGCCCTCCTCGGCGCTGAAGTACAGGCGGGTCACGGTCAGGAACATCTTGCTGGGAGTGGAGCTAAGGAAACCCGGCATGCACAGCAGGCGACCCTGCACACACACACACACACACACACACTCTCCCCTCTCCCAGTGCCGGCCTGCTCGAGCCCGGCCTCCCTCCAGGGGACAGCTCAGCGTGTTGGCAGACAATCAGACCCCGCTCAGAGCGGCCGCTCCCCGGCAAGGTAGCCCTGACACGCTGGCTACGTGCACATAGCTGTGCGGACCGTCAGAGCCGCGGGAAGTCTGGGGAGCAGGTGTGTGGCACAGGAGTGGGGATGCCGTCAGTGCCCAGCTCGGCTGCCCTCCCTGCTCACGGGCACCCTGGGGGGCGGCGGGGGCCGCTCCCACCCACCCAGGGAGCCCCGGACGGAGTTCTGGGTCCCTGACCCGGTCCACACTAGTTTTGTTTTACGTTTGAAACGCGGGGTGGACAGGAAGTAAGTGGGGAGAGAGGACCTCCCACCCACTGGTTCACTCCCTGTAAAGCCGCCACTCGATGCGGGCCCCCCTGGGGGTGGGAGGGACCCAGTTAGTGGAGCCGTGCTTGCTGCCTCACGGTGTGCGTAGCAGCAGGGAGCTGGCGCACTCGAACCCAGGGACCGCCACACCAAAGCCACAGCAGCTTGCCGGCCCAGCACACATGGAGTGAAGCCGTGGCTGGCGATCTTTGTCTTTCCCTCTCTCTCGCCTCTCAAACACTTTTTTAAAACCCTATAAAGCATTATGTAGGAGACGGGGCTGTGGTGCAGCAGGCGAGCCACTGCCTGCCATAGGAGCATATCAGAGGGGCGCCGGTTCGAGTCCCGGCTGCTCCACTTCCCATCCAGCTCCCTGCTTGCAACAAGCCTGGGAAAGCAGTGGAGGCCAGCCTGAGGTTGTGTTGCAAGGGGGCGGCTTAAGCCCACTGCGCTGTGCACCTGGCCCAAAAGTTTTCACAGGTTTATTTTGGGGGAAAAAAGCCTTTGTGACGTTCACACGGTGTGTTTATAACTATGTGTTTCCCGGGTACTTTTTGCCTACCCCCCCCCCGCCAGGGCGCCACCTCCAGCCTGTCCTCAGACACCAGGGCCCCCACTGCCCCCCGCGGCCCTCCCCCAGGCAGGATACATGGAGAAGGCCACGGTGAGCAGACACCAGCACACGGCCAGGTTGGTCTCCCTGCCGGGGCCCAGCAGGTGGTAGTAGGCCTCGGTGAAGACATACACGCCGCCCGAGTACACGGCGAAGTCCACGAACCACTGGTACTCCAGGAAGAAGCGCAGGACTGCGTGGCACGCCACCCGCTCAGCCCCTGGCCACGAGCGCCCTCCCCTCCCACCCCCACCGGGCGGGGCGGTTACCCAGGGCGTCCACGGCCGTGAGCGGGCAGGTCTCCAGCTGCAACGGGGCGTCCCGGGGCACCGACAGAGGCTTCTCCTCACTGAGGCCATTGCTGGCCCACCTGGGGGCATGGCATCTGTCACTCAGGGCTAAGCCCACCCTCCTGGCTCCCCCGAAGGCACTCGGGTCCCAGCTGATAATCTGTGCACCCCAGAACGAGGGGACCGCCCTGCCCACCCTGCCAGCAGCACTGGCTGCCAACCTGACCCTGCCCGGGGCCCCGTCCCCCTGCAGCCTCCCGGGGCGGAGGGGCAGGCCTGGCATTACAGGGGCGCCACTCACCGCTCCCTGCGGCCCTTGGGCCTTGCCTTCCCGGCCAGAGCCCGCAGCTCCTCCTCGGATGGATGCTTGTACCGGAATAAACTGGACACAAAGATGTGGACAGTTAGAGAAATTCCAGCAGGGGGCGCTCGAGGTAGCCACCCAAATCCAGGGAGCTGAAGGGACAGGTCTGGCCTGGGGTCCCTTAACCAGGGGGGACTCTGGGGCTTCCCAGAACCCCCCGAGATGGCCGGCTCACTCTCCCAGGAGAAACAGGTGTATGTTTGCAGGGAGACAAATTCATCTTTTCAACGGATTCTTAGAAAGTGTCAGAGACACAAAACAAAACAAAACTTGAAGCAGGCAAAGGGGACAAGTTCTGAGACATAACGGGTGAGAAGGCAGCTGGGGCAAGCAGGGACATGACGGGGGCGGACGACGCTCATGCCACATAAACGCAGCGTGCTGGGCTCCCACGGGGGCCAGAGCAAAAACACAAATACACACGAAACACCACATGCCACGTGGACGCAGGGCTGGGAGAAGGGGGGACGGCCCATGAGGCTCCCCCCTCCCTGGTGCAGACTCCTCCCTCCCTGGTGCAGGCTCCTCCCTCCGTGGTGCAGGCTCCTCCCACCCCCTGGTGCAGGCTCCTCCCTCCCTGGTGCAGGCTCCTCCCACCCCTGGCGCAGGCTCCTCCCAGACCTGGTGCAGGCTCCTCCCTCCCTGGTACAGGCTCCTCCCTCCCTGGTGCAGGCTCCTCCCCCCCTGGTGCAGGCTCCTCCCACCTCCCCTCCCTGGTGGAGGTCCTGTCTTCACCTGTCCCGCTGCCCAGCTCACCTGCCATTACAGAGCAGCCAGCGCGCGAAGGAGCAGTGGGGCGCCAGGCGGTACATGAGCGTGGCCGTGAACAGCGTCACGAGCAGCTGCACTCCCAGGACGGCCTGCGGGGACGGACGGGGCAGTGCTGGCCAGAAGGTCACACGCATGCTGGCTCGCTCGCTCAGCTCTCTCCCTCCCCAGCAGCCAGGCTATTTATAGAAAGGCCACTTGTCCCTGCTTCCCGCACGTCCAGCGGAGCCGGACGCCAACGCTGACCGAGCACCCCGTGGCCCAGCACCCACATCAAGGAAGTGAGGCTCCCGGGGCCCAGCTTTCCTGGGGTGCTTATTGACAAGCAGCACCTCCGCCAGGTGCCCCCTTCGTGGGGACGGGGCCCTCGCACTGCGGCCGTCCTCCCGCTGCCTCCCCAGGCACATGAGCAGGGCGCGCGACCTTCGTGCAGTAGCTGGGACTGGAACTACTCAGACGGGATGTTGGGGTCCCCGGCAATGGTTCAGCCCCGCTGGGTGCCGAGGCTAAGGCCCCGTGAAACGATCCTCCATGGCTCACTCCTTCGTCCTCCCTCTGCCTTTGAAATCGACCTCTCTGGCAAACACCGTTGGTACCAGGAATTCCCGTCTCCCAGCGTGACCTCACAGCTGGCCGGCTGACGGGCCACAGCTTCTCAAACAGTTTAGGAGGAAACAGCCCGAAGCATGAGGGGGACAACCAGCGGCTACCCAGAAATCAAGATGTCTCGGAGACAGAGAGATTTTGTAGAACAAGGCTTGAGGGCCTGGTGCCGTAGCCTAGTGGCTAAAGTCCTCGCCTTGCACTTGCCAGCATCCCATAGGAGCATCAGTTCGTGTCCCAGCAGCTCCACTTCCCACTCAGCTCCCTGCCTGTGGCCTGGGAAAGCAGTGGAGGACGGCCCACAGCCTTGGGACCCTGCACCCGCGTGGAAGACCCGGAGGAGGCTCCTGGCTCCTGGCCCAGCCCCCAGCTGTTGCGGGCATTTGGGGCAAGCTAGTGGACAATCGCACTTCCTCTCTGCCTTTGAAATATACTCAGAATTTTAAAAATATAGTACTGATTCGTGAAACCGTGTCTGTGATTTGCACACAGAAGTCACAAATCTAGTTTATTTATTTATTTATTTATAAAATGAGGTTTGCAGGTGCCAAGTACGAACCCCTAAATTCTCATGACGTGCCCCTGCTTGCCCTGCTAACCCGGGGTGGGGGGGAGTGCAGGAATCTCCCACAGACCAGACCTCAGCACCTGGGGGTACCCCAAACAGCTCGATGCCTCACTGTGCACCCCCTGCCTGGCCCTACACCCCCAGCGCGGAAGCCGCCCCCCAACGCCAGCCCATCCCTCCCTGGGATTGAGCAGTTTGCAAAGCCAAATGGGGGGCCCGGCTGGAGGCCACCCTGCCTCCCTGTGCACCCCCTGCCTGGGGGCAGCGGTCTTCCGGAACCTTCCAAGCAACCCACAGATTCCTCCCTCCTTTGGACCTACGAACCCCCCTCCCTAAACCGAGCCCAGTTGTCCCACTGGGGTCTGGGGGTGCCGTTCTGCGCCTGCACCCCAGCCTGCAAGCTCGGCCCCCCTTTTTCACCGACCCATCCAGCAAGAGCGCTCCCCACTTCAGTCCCAAGTCCAACTTGGGGACACCCCAACTCCAGGGACCTCCCAGCACGGGGACACCCCAACTCCAGGGACCTCCCAGCACGGGGACACCCCAACTCCAGGGACCTCCCTGCACGGGGACACCCCAACTCCAGGGACCTCCCAGCTGGAGGGACATCCCAGCACGGGGACACCGCAACCCAGGGACACCCCAACCCAGGGACACCCCAACCCAGGAACACCCTAACCCAGGGACACCGCAACCCAGGGACACCGCAACTCCAGGACAACCCAACCTGGGACAGCGCAGCTCCGGGCCACCCCCGGCCCGGCCCCAGCCCCCGACTAGCACTGCTCAGCCCCGCAGGGCCCTCGGCGGGACCCCCCGACCCTCCTAACCCCGGGGTTCACGGGGAGACGCAAGCTCACCATGTCGCCGGCGGGAGCGCCGCGCGCGCACCCGGGAACCTGCGCGCCCAGGCCGCCCCGGGGCTGTCCACCAATCAGAGCCCTCGCTGCTGTGACGAGCATACACGGCGCCCAATCAACACACAGGAAGCGGCCTACTCGCTCAGGAGAGCGCCGCCGCCATCCGCGGCGCATGCCGGGAGTTGTAGTTCGAACGGGCGGGGCGCGTGCAGAGTTGGGGTTCAGTGGGAGAAGGCTGCGTGTCGGGGCGCGGGGTGAGGGGGCGGCCCAGGTCCCTGCGCTTTCCCCACAGGCTCGCCGCGCTCAGGCCCATCCGCTCCCTCGCTGTCGGCGGAGGGAGGGGGATGCAACGCCCCCACCCCCGATTTAGAATAGGGGTCCCCCGATTTAGAGCAGGGTTCCCCTGGGCTGGAGCAGATTCCTGGGGCGCTGGAGGTGTCGCCGCCTCCTCTGGGCCGGCGGAGAAAGCGCAGCCTCCCCCCAGCTGGAGAAAGCCGAGCTTTGCTTCCCCCATGCCCCTGGGCACCCCTGAACCCCAAACGGGAGCCTGCACCTCCATGCACCCCACGAGCGGCGCCCCGGCCGGGCCTCACTCCCCAGCCCACCCACCACCGCCTTGGCCACTCTGCTCCCCGACAGCAAGCTAGCTGGGTGTGACACCGTGGGGTGCGGCGACTCTTCACCCCACACACGGCGGGGACGGCGGAGAGCAAAGCCCCGCCCAGCGGCACCTGCAGGCCCCGCCCACGCCGCACCTGCAGGCCCCGCCCACGCCGCACCTGCAGGCCCCCACCCCACCCCGCTGCAGGTCGGCCGTGCACAGGGTGCACCCCACACTTCCAGCAGGAGACTCCGACAGCGCGACAGCTTTGTCCTTTATTGGGGGGCGCACACGGGAAGGGGGTAAGGGACCCCAAACCACAGTCCGGGATGCAGGTGCTGCCCGCCCCTCCAGGTCCCCGAGGCGCAGGGCTGTCCTGGAAGGCCCCCCTGGCCTGGGGAGGTCCCCCTACCGGGCCAGCCCTCCTGGGGCCAGTCCTCCCGGGGACAGTCCTACGGGGGACAGTCCTCCAGGGGACAACCCTCCCGGGGCCATCCCTCCCGGGGACAGTCCTACGGGGGACAGTCCTCCAGGGGACAACCCTCCCGGGGCCAGCCCTCCCGGGGACAGCCCTCCCGGGGACAGTCCTCCAGGGGCCATCCCTCCGGGGGCCATCCCTCCCGGGGACAGCCCTCCCGGGGACAGTCCTACCGGGGACAGCCCTCCCGGGGACAGTCCTACCGGGGGACAGTCCTCCCAGGGCCATCCCTCCAGGGGCCAGTCCTCCAGGGACCATCCCTCCGGGGGACAGCCCTACCGGGGCCAGCCCTCTGCCGACGGCAGCCGGCGCAGCGAGGGCCCGGGCCGGCCCAGGAGCAGCGGGTAGGAGAAGGCCTTGTGGAAGTCGCCGGGGCCGCCGGGGGGCACAGGGGACAGGCGCTCGGATTTTATGTTGACCTGAGGCGGCGGCGGGGAGGCGCTGCGGGCCGGGGGTCCCTCCTCGCCCAGGCTGCGGCCCCCACTGTAGGACGAGAGAGAAGGGGAGGTGGAGGACGGAAGAACGCCAAGAAGGGAGAGGTTTGGCAGGGGGGACGGCCCTCACCTGTCCCCAGGTGTGAGGGAGGGGGGACGGCCCTCACCTGTGCCCAGGTGTCGGGGAGGAGGTACCCACGGCCCTCACCCGTGCCCAGCTCCACACCCCCGACCCGGTCACTCACCTATGCGGGGCAGGGGCCACGGGAGGCCCATCCCCTCTCGCCTGCCACGGGACCAGGGCCGGGGGCTGCAGCAAGCCAGGGGGTGGCGGGGGATCTCCCAAGCTGTACTCTGCAGGGGAGAGGAGGGAGAGGCAGGGCCAGGTGGACGGGGATGCCCACGCTACGCCCACCCCACTGCCATGGCCCAGGTGAGGAGGGGGCATGGCCTCACCTGGGGGGCCTGCCTGGAGAAAGGGGAAGTTGCCCAGTGGGGCTGCAGGCGGCGTGGCCGAGTTTGGGTTCTGCAGGCTGCTGTAGAGGTTTCTCTGTGGAAACGAAGGCCCGGGGGTGTTGGGGGACACGGAGGCCGTGCCCAGCAGACCCCACGGCCCCCTCACCCACTCCCGCACGTCCGCCCACCGCTTACCGGGGTGTTCAGGGTCCCTCGGTTCCCCGCCAGGCCCCCGGGCAGGTCTGGCCGCCTGCTGTCCGCTGCCGCCAAGTACAGCGGTGCTGGGGGCGGGGGTGGGGGCGTCTTGGGGGCCAGGAGGCTTGAGGATGCGAGCAGAGGGTGAGGCAGTCCTGGGGAAGGGGAGGTGGGGGACACGGTGTCATGCCAGGCCACTGGGCCTCACGCCCACAGCCCCCTCCACCGGGCCACCGGGCATAGCGCCCACAGCCCCCTCCACCGGGCACCACCCACCTTTGCCCCATGCTCACCTGGGGGCCCCGCTTTGGGGGCTGCGGGCCTGAAGGGAGATGGCCGGCTCTGGGCCACCGGCAGGGCCTCCCCGAGCCCGCAGGGGTCGCAACCGGGCGGCGGCAGGGCCCCGTAGACCATATCTGGGCTGGGCATGGCAGGGGCCACCGGCTGCAGGGTGAAGTGGGGTGCATGGGTGGGGGTGCCAGAGCTGGGCACCCCTCTGGCTGCTGTGTCCCCTCTGCCTCCCCAGGTCATTCCTTGAGGGCTAGGACTTACCGAAGTCCTCTGCGTCCTTCAAAGCCCCAGCCACATGCCCCCCACCCTTCTAGGATCTCCCCATCTCGGGCCCCTCTCCCGTGGGCCTAGGCGGGGGGCTCAGGGCTCCATTCCCAAGGGTCACTTACATAGAGCCGGGGCCTGGGCAAGGTCGGGTCGCCCCCGTCGCCCGCCAGCCTCCGTAGCTTCTCCCTGGACGCATCAGACCCCTCCTCGGGCTCCGGTTCTGCTCCGTCGAGGCCCACTCCCCTGCGTTTCAGCGTCTGGGGTGGGGACGGGGGGAGGAGGCAGAGCAGCATGAGGGACCCCAGGAGGGAGCCCAGGAGGGAGCCCGGTGCTGGGGGTCACGGGGCGGTGGGGGACAGCAGCAGTCACACCTAACCAGCCAGTGTGTTGCGGGGCGTGGAGTGCAGGCATGGTTCGCTCCAGGCCGACCCCCACGCTGCGTCCCCTCCTTCTGTCTGCACTGTGTCTAACGCTCCATAACCCTGTACCCTAACTCTGCAGGGCACAGCCGCAGGTCAGGCTGGTTCCCGGGCACCGGGGCACGGGGGACTTGGGGGCACGCGTGGCTCCCCTGGTCACGGGGTCAGGCCGGTCCCCTGGTCACGGGGTGTCGCCCGGTCCCCTGGCCCCTACAGCGCCTGCTCAGCTGTGCTGGCCCCGCCCTCCCCAGCCCCGCCCCTCACTCCACGGCCCCGCCCACCCTCGTGGCCCCGCCCTCCCAGCCCCGCCCACGCCCCGGCCCCGCCCACACCTGCAGGATGTCGCTGTAGGTGCGGCTCGCTGTACTCCGGCCCCGCCCACCCTCGTGACCCCGCCCTCCCAGCCCCGCCCACGCCCCGGCCCCGCCCCCACCTGCAGGATGTCGCTGTTGGTGCGGCTCGCTGTACTCCGGCCCCGCCCACCCTCGTGGCCCCGCCCCGGCCCCGCCCCCACCTGCAGGATGTCGCTGTTGGTGCGGCTCTCGTGCGGCTCGCTGTACTCCGTGTACTTGAGCAGCACGCGGTCCATGTCGGTGCTGGCGTACTGGAACAGGCGGTTGGCGCTGTTGAAGATGATGAGGGCGATCTCGCAGTCGCACAGCACGCTCAGCTCGTACGCCTTCTTCATCAGCCCGAACTTGCGCTTGGTGAAGGTCACCTGCGCGCAGGGGAGCGGAGAGGGGGCGGATGAGGACGGGGGTCCCTCACGGGGGATGAGGATGGGGGTCCCTCACGGGGGATGAGGACGGGGGTCCCTCACGGGGGATGAGGATGGGGGTCCCTCACGGGGGCGGGATGAGGATGAGGGTCCCTCACGGGGGATGAGGATGGGGGTCCCTCACGGGGGCGGGATGAGGATGGGGGTCCCTCACGGGGGATGAGGATGAGGGTCCCTCACCCCACTCCGTGTTCCTGCCTGCACGGGGCGGCTGCTCTCCCTGTCCCAAGGGGCAAACTCCTATGCCTGCGCCCACACCCGGCTCACATGCCCCCTGGAGTGTGGATGGATTACTCTCCCGGCTTCCCCCATGCCTGCTGTGTCTGTTTTCTTTATTTCTTTTTCAAGATTTGCTTATTAACGATTTGTTTGTTTTTCTTGGAAAGGCTGATATACAGAGAGGAGTGGAGACAGGAAAGAAGATCTTCCATCTGCTGACTCACTCCCCAAGTGGTCACAACGGCCAGAGCTGAGCCGATCTGAAGCCAGGAGCCAGGAGCTTCTTCCGGGTCTCCCACACGGGTGCAGGGTCCCAAGGCTTTGGGCCGTCCTCCACTGCTTTCCCAGGCCACAGGTAGGGAGCTGGACGGGAAGTGGAGCAGCTGGGACTTGAACCAGCATCCTTATGGAATCCCGGCATGTGTAAGGTGAGGATTTAGGCACTAGGCTATTGCACTAGGCCCATGCCTGTTTTCTTTGAACTCTAGCCATCAGGGAAGATAACTGAATTAAAACGGGCCTGGAGGAACTGGCAGCACAGTGGCATAGTAGCTTAAGCAACCACCTGTGGCGTTGGCATCCCAAGAGGGCTCAGGTTAAATCCCGGCTTCTTCTGGCCCAGCTCTCTGCCGTTGTGTCTGGAAAGGCTGCACAGGCTGGTCCAGGCGCCCGGACCCCCACAGCCACGTGGGAGACCCGGATGATGCTCCCTGGCTTGGAATGAACCTTTGCGGACAAAATGAAAATAAATAAATCTTTAAAAAGGCGCTGGGGCCAGCTATGGTACAGCAGGTCCTGCTGCGTCACCAGCTACCCACGTGGGCACCAGTTCGAATCCCGGCGGCCAGCCTGGGGAAGTGACCAAAGATGGCCCAAGTGCTTGGGGCTCCTGCCACCTCTGGGGGAGACCCGGATGGAGTTCCAGGCTCCTGGCTGCAGCCTGGCAGGTGGCCATCTGGTGGGGGGGGAACCTACGCATGAAACATCTTTCTGTCACTCCTCTCTATGCTGCTCTGCTTTTCCCATAAATAATGATGGAGGGTTTGATCTCAAAGTCCTGGTGTTTCCCGACCCTCTGAGAGCTTCCAGAACAGCCATGCCACGCGCCCGCCCTGCCCGCTGCGGTCACCTCTGCTGGCCCGCCCGCCGCTCGCTCACCTGTCGATTCCTCTGGTCCAGAATGCGCGAGATCTGAATTTTCTTCCTCCCCATGCTGCCAGGCTGGGCGGAGCGACCCGAGGTGGATCTGAGTGCGAGCAGGTGCGGGTGGAGGGTGAGTGGCAGGTGCAGGGCGGGCAGGGGAAACCCATCCCCGCCCTGCGCCTCCTGCCCACTCCCCACCTCTCCCAGGTGCTGAGGGGCCTTGGCCCGCCTTCCCCCCTTGTTTAAGGATCAATCACCTTGTAGGAGCCAGGGCGGGAAGGGGAGGTGTGGAAAACCCCAGGCCTGGAGCCCCCCACTGGCCAGCGTGCAGGAACAGTGGTGCCCAAGAGCCGCCAGACTCCATGCCCAGCTGGGCTGGACCTCCACACTTGGGGTTCTGCCAGCCATTGCCAGCAAGCAGGAGGGCTGTGGGAAATACAGCCCCCCCCCCCCAAAAAAAGTCCATTTGCCTTTGACAATAGATGCCCTATCTGCGAAGCACAGAAATCTCCCCCGTGCTCGGTCACTCCACAGATGCTAGGGGAAGCCAGGGCCAGGCCAGGAGCTCCGGCCGGCTCCCCACACACGTGGCAGGGCCCCAAGCCCTTGAGCCATCCACTGCTTCCCCGGGTGCACACATGAGCGGGGAGCTGGACGGGAAGTGGAGCAGCTGGGACTCAGCTGCAGGAATGCTGGCATCAGTGGCTGAACACGCTGTGCCACCACTCTGCCCCCGACAACTCATTTTCTTTTATTTTAAATGAGTTCCAAGTGTTTCTCAGAGCAGCTGAACCGCCCAGACGTCAGCCTGCTGGCTCTCATCTCCTGGCACTGGCAGGGCAGAGGAGGGAGGCCCCAGGGTCCCCAGCAGGCCGTACAACGTGGGCTTCTGGGTCAGGTCTCGGGGCTGTCACGGGAAAGCCCAGGCCGTGGGGCTCACTCTCACAGCTGCACTCAACTTGCAGCCACCAGAATCGGGTACGCTCCCACGGGCTTGGAGAGGTTGACCCCAGGCTAGCAGCTCCTTAGGGGAGTGAAGGGGGCGTGTTGCTGGTCCGGAGGGCCCTTCCCACACTCCATGCCAACATGATTTGGGCAGTTGCCCCCAGCCCTGCTGCCCTGCCACTGACGCCCTGGGATCCCAGGGGAGACGGGGGACGAAGGGCTGGGGCACTGTGGCCGGACAGAGCTCTCTGCGCCCCCTTCCCAGGCTGTCCTCATTCTAGACACGCAGGCTGGGGCTGGACTCAGCGGTCCCAGGGTTGGGCAGGCCCCCCCAGGATGGGGTTAGGGGGTTGGGGAGCAGCAGACTCATGCTGAACCGAGAGTTGAGAGAGGAAGTGAGCTCCGGGCCGGGGGAGCAGCAGGTGTGAGAGGGGAGAGAGGAGGGCCAGCAGCCACAGCCGCGCGCCAGGCGCCCCCACCCCAGGGCGGCCTGAGCCAAAGGCAGCAGGTTCGGAGCCATTCATGGGACCAGGCCAATTTCCAGTTAAAGCGATTTTTCTCTGAAACATGGAAAAAGTTTCGAAACCCAACTATTTTTTTAAGTGCCCACAACAACTGGGCCAGGTGCCAGGAGCTCCGTCTGGGTCGCCCTCGCGGGTGGCAGAGGCCCAAGGCACTCAAGCTGACACCTGTTGCCTGCCAGACTGGAACCCAGTCCCTCGGAGCAGGGCTTGGGATTAACCACTGGTTTCTCACCTTAAAACTCAGTGGAGGGAGCCCAGCGTGATGGCTCAGTGGCTAGGCCACTTGCAAGCCCGGGATCCCATAGGAGCACTGGGTCATTTCCCGGCCATTCCACTTCCCACCCAGCTCCCTGCCTGTGGCCTGGGAATGCAGTGGAGGACGGCCCAGAGCCTGGGGACCCTGCACCCGCGTGGGAGACCTGGAAGAGGCTCCTGGCTCCTGACCCAGCTCCAGCCATTGCAGTGCGATGGCCTAGTGGCTGAAGTCTTTGCCTTACATCCACCAGGATCCCATATGCGCTCCAGTTCTAATCCCAGCGGCCCCGCTTCCCATCCAGCTCTCTGCCTGTGGCCTGGGAAAGCAGTGGAGGACGGCCCAAAGCCTTAGGACCTGCACCCTCGTGGGAGACCCGGAAGAAGCTCCTGGCTCCTGGCTTTGCACTGGCCCAGCCTCCGACCCTTGAGGACATTCCCTTAAATAAACCCAGGAACTCCTTGGCCAACATCTTCACTTGGCCAACTCCTATGCACACTGCAAAACCCGTCTGGAAGACCCCATGGATCTCCTGTCATCCTCAGCCGTCCCTTCCAGCTCTGATGGTGGGACTCGGTGGTGGTGGTGGTGGTAATGGGGAGCCCTCGCTGTCCCCCTGAGCCTCCGTCTGATCCGGGCGGGGTCAGAAAGATGTGGTCAAGGCAGACCGGGTGACACCACCGCCGTCGCCGCCGCCCGGGCCCACCTTCCCTCAACAACTTCCTCTTAGATGCCCCCAGCTCCCGGCTGCCCAGAAATACACGCGCATGCAAATGCAGCTGTTCCGCAGTGACCGTGTCGCGGGCCAGGTGCGAAGGGGCAGCCGCGAGCGCGGAGGCGGCGGCCCTGGCTGCTTCACATATATTTGTCCTCACATGCAAATGCCGGGCCAGGCCGCAGACTGCCCGGGCGTCCCTGCCCCAGATGGCCGCGTGCTGGGAACTGCCGGGGCAGGCCGCTGGGGAGGGCCAGGCCGCAGGCCACTGCATGTGCCGGGCACGTGGGAGGGAGTCGGCTGCGGTGGGGGAGGCCTCTTCCCTACCCACCTAGCCCTGCCCCTGGGGTGCATCCGGCAGAGACAGAGGTGCAGGGGAAACCCAGGAGATCACACCGGAGGAGGAAGTCAGGCCCTGGGCCTGATGTCAGGGGAGCTAAACGGTGTTCAGGGAGGTGCCCGAAGCAAGTGGGTGTCTGCAGGCAAGCGGCTAGCATCTCCCCCAATTTCTTCTTTTTAATATTGATTCGAGACTCAATGTGGTAGCCTAGTGATTAAAGCCCTTGCCTTGCATGCACCAGCCTCCCAAAGGGTGTGGGTTCTAATCCCGGCTGCTCCACTTCCCACCCAGCTCCCTGCCTGTGGCCTGGGAAAGCAGTGGAGGACGGCCCAAAGCCTGGGGACCCTGTACCCGCGTGGGAGACCCAGAAGAAGCTCCTGGCTCCTGGCTTCAGCTCCGGCTGTTGCAGCCACTTGGAGAGTAAACCAGCAGATGGAAGATTCTTCTCTTTCTTTCTGTAAATCTACCTTTCTAATGAAAAATAATTCTTTCAAAAATAAACTTGCTTATAATGGGTGTCCTGGGTGACCTGAACAGACGGCGTGCACGGCCGGGTGGGGCCCTGGAGCAGCGCGGGGCGTGGGGGGCCAGGGGACCCGAGGTGGTTCCGGCTCCTGCGGTCTCCTCTGGGCCCACAGGGTCCTGGTCAGTCGCCAAGATGGGAATACTACTTCCCCACCCCCAGGCCAGAAAGTGTGCAGCTGGGGAGGTGGGGGGGAGGGAGAAACCGCTGGCTGACCCTAGGGGAGAGTGGGGGCTGGTGCTTGTGTGCAGTGGGAAGGGGTGCCAGTCCAAGGCCCAGGTACCAGATCAGGGTTTCTGTGAACAGTAAGTCGATCAACAAACCCTTCTGAGAGGACAAGAGGGGCTCGCTGGGGGAGCCAGGCTGGGGTGGGGGAGATATGCCTCATCTATAGAGCTTGATTTTTTCACTTCCTATAAGCCAGGTGGGGGGGCAGGCGGGGGGAGGGGAGCTGGGGGAGGGAGGCGTTGGGACTGGCGGACGCTGAGTCAGCATGCCCCCCTTGCAGACCACGGCGGCGCCACACTCCGACACACCACGTCCCCACTTCCTCCCCGAGCCAAGTTCAGCAGCAAATCTTCCCACCGCCACCCTCCCCCTACCCGGGGCGGAGGAGCTGGAAGAGGCGGTGGGGGACCCGGGCTTGGAAGTGACAAATGGGAGGCAGGTGGGTGACCCTGCCTAGCGGGGAGGGGCGTCGCGGCTCCCATGCGCACAGCAAGGCGGGCTGGCGTCCCGCCTCACGCAACCTCGGCTGTAATTTCATCACTGGCTCCCCAAGTACCTCATTAAGCGTGCCGGGAAGCGCCCCTTGGAAAGCCAGGGACCCCTGCCCTCTCTGGGGGGCTCTGACCCTCCTCCCTCCCCGGTGAGGTGCTGACCAGGTTGGGGTGCTGAGGGGGACTTGGGGTTGTGGCTCCCGTGGGGCCCTGCACCTGCTTCTGAGGAGTGGGGAATTGGAGGGGGGTTTGGTCACAGGGCCCCCCATTCTCTCTCTGCCTTGGTTTCCTGCTGTAGAGAATGGGAGTGGGGGTCACCTCTCCTTAGTGGGCCCAGCTGAAAGCCCTGTGCCCACCCTCACACAGCCAGAATGGGGGACACGGGCCCCTCAGACACATGTGCACCCCGAAACGCATGAGGACCCTGGATGTAGAACTCTTTAAAACACAGAAAGCCAAGGCACCCAGCGCTCCCCCAAACCCTGCATATATACCCCAAATGGCCCTAGCCATGACGCACGCGGTACCCCCGCAGCGCGGCCCACCCTCCGCCTGCGCAGTGCAGGGGTGGACGGTGCCCGACCACCCCCACCTGCAGCCTGGCCTCCTGCAGGTCTCTGCCCACCCCACCCGCGCCTAGGTGCCAGGGTGCCAGCTGCAGAGGTGGGAACCCGCGCTGGGGTGGGCGGGCCTCGCCGGGCAGGCGTCCAATGAGAGGCCGGGACGGGCGCGCAGGCACCTGCCAGCCCCACGGTGCGCGGGAGAGGCGCTCCGGTGTGCCCCCCGTTGCACGTGGGCTGGGAGGAAGACCGGAGGTCTGGGCCCCGGTTAGGGTGTTCCCCCCCACCTTCTGCCTCTGCAGGGAGAGGGCTGGAGTTTGTCCCCACTCGGGGCGGCGGGGGGTGGGGTGGATAGGAGGCAGCAAGACAGCAGGACAAACACCTGGGTCCTTACTGCTGGGCTCCCTTGTCAACACCTCACGGGCCACAGCGCTGGACCGCAGCCCCAAGGGCTGCCAAGGGGAGGCGTTTGGCGTCCCACGGCCCGCTGGACAGCACCTGTGC